GGCTTCCCTGGGGACTTAGATGGTAAAGAATCTCCTGCAACGTGGGAGACCTGGGTTCAATCCCTGGGTCATGAGGATCCCCTGGAGAAGGGAATGGCTACCCATTCCAGTGTTCTTGCCTGGAGAATCCCATGGACAGAGGAGCCTGGTGGGCTACAGTCATGGGACTGCAATGAGTTCGACATGACTGAGCAACAAATATACACAGTAAGCTTTCAGGATATACTGGCCAATCTTTACTCGGCAAAGCATCACATGCTCACAAGTAGTGTACGTGCACCACAGCCCATGCCAAAGGATCCATGCGTCCCTTCCGATCCATGGGGCACTCCTTTATTGTTTTTACTATGTCTTTCTTGTCTCTTTTCTACAGAGGCCACAGAGGCGGCTAAGTTTCACGAAATGGACCCATGTTAAGGGTGGAGAAATAGGCTTGTCAGACACAGCCCTGATGGCCGAATAACACTTGGATCATTTAAGCTACATCTGACCCTTTCCTCTGAGCATAGGAACTTTCTTCCTCACAGGTAGCCTTGCACTCATTAAAGAGTGGGCTCATCCACTCCACTCTCAAATCACAAGTCCAAGCCAACCCGTTTTGAACCTGGACTCTGTAGTAAACACCTCACCCTTGTCCCCTTATGCCTCTGGCTACTGCTTTACCTATAATCCATTTACCATGCAGAGGACACAGCAATCTTTTCAAAATATCAATCAGTCACTTCATGCCCCTGCTTAAATTCTTCCATGTGGTTCTTCACGCACTTTACACCCGAAGGCCCCAAGCCTCCGGGGCCTGGTGTGACTGGCCCCAGCCTGTGTCTCTAGCAGCTCGCGCCTTCTCCCCTCTCCCCCTCCTGCTAGTCTCCCAGCTCCGGGAACCCTGCAGCCTCTAGACAGCTCAGGACGGCAGCAGGGCCATCTTGCGCCTACACTGCTCTCCTCTCTCCCATCCCTGGCACCCTTCCACACAGTGTGAGCCTAGAGTCACCTCCTCGGACACTTCCAACCACTTGCTCCAGTGGAGGTTCTGCCTGTTAACTCTCAGGACCTTGTATCTTTCCTTCAGAGTGCTTATAACACTTTAAAAGTATATTATTAATTTATGCAGGGTTTGCCTGACTGTACTAATAAACAATATACTCCATGAAAGCAGAGGACTATTATCTTGTTTACTGTGGCATCTCCTGGGTCTGGCAAATAGTAGGCACCCAATTACTTACAGAATAAATCAATGAACGAATCAATGTAAAGATGACCTCTGACCTACTATTTCTTGTCAAATTACTTCTGTAATCAGGGCTTTACAAACGGGACACGATCAGGAAGTTCATTTATGGGTCAGATATCTGGAATGGGTTAAATATACAAATGGTGGCCAAGTTCCCAAACGAGTCCATTAAAAGGGGTTCTGATCACCAACTCCAATGTAGGGGAGAAGGTTGCCTCACACATGGGAGCCAGTGTACGATACAGCAGTGTACTGTAGATCAGAACCCACACACAGAACACACAGCTGGGTGTTCACAGCTCAATGCAATTCTGACACTATGTACCGGAGACAACACAGATTCTACAGGCAAAGGGCTCAGCCCGACAACACCATCCCCACTTCAGACCAGCTGCAAGCCCAGACTGTTACCTGTAGCACGTCTGACCCATCACCTACAGACTGCAAGTTCTCCTGACACCATCCTTGTGTTCAACTAATTTGCTTGAGCAGCTCACAGAACTAAAGAAACCTGTTTACTTCCTAGATCACCAGTTTATTTTAAAAGGTCGTAACTCGGGTACAGGCCGATGGAGGAGAGGCAGAGGGCAAGGCAAGTGGGAAGCAGAGAGGACCCCGCATCCCCTCTTGGGGCCCCACTCTCACAGCACCTCCACATGCTCACCAACCCAGAAGCTCTCCAAACCAAGCCCCACCCCCTGTGGAGTTTCAGAGGTTTCCTCACACAGGCATAATTGAGTACATCTGCCCTCTCCAGAGGTCAGGGGGTAGGACTGAACGATCCAATCCTCTAATCACAAGGTTGGTTCTCCTGGCAACTAATTCCCACTCAAGGATGCTTTCCAAGTCACTTCACTAACACAAAAGACACCTTTATTGCTCTCATCTTTGAAGAAATTCTAAGGGTTTTAGGAGTTCTATGTCAGAAACAGAAGCAAATGTTTAATGTAGTATTTCTTATTATAAATCACCACATCACACCCAAGAATATCTGTTTCAATACACTGTGTAGTTGGATCATTTTTGATGGCACAACCTAAATTCTGGGAAAAGGTCACTTACTTGCCAGTACCTCTTGTGTTCTCAAGAGTACTTCAGACAACAGAGGGCAACAGGAACTCACATGGAGAATCGACTAGTGGGGAGAGCCACATAAATGGAGAAATAAAAGGGAAACAGGAAAAAAAACGGAATACTTCAAACATGACCAGCTGTTCCTGTGATTGGTCAATGGAAGCCACCATTATTTTATCATGTACTTTTGCTGATTCCATGTCTGTTTGACTGTCCGATGGTGACTTGTAAGTTTTCAGAGAGCAAGGGTCACAACATGTACATTTTTCCATGTTCTGCAAACTCTTAGCATAGCATTGTGTGTCCTAATTACTCCAAAGAACTGGCCTTTGCCTGGCATGCCTTATACCCAGGATATGCCATAATGACTAGCACTATATTAATTTGCAGTTATTTATATGTTGCAATATCAACATTCTAAAGTCTTTTTATGGACATATGTATTTTCATTGTGTTCATATACTGTCTCCTTAGCCAGACACATTTACATCTTCAGAAGATAAATTTTAGAAAGGAAAAAAGGGCAGAACACCAAGAAGAGCTAAAAAATTTCATTAAGATGAGGAAGTCCAAAATGTAAAATGAGGACTTCCCTGGTAGTTCAGTGGTTAAGAATCCAATGCAGGGGACGCAGGTTCAGTCCCTGGTCCAGGAAGATTCCACATGTCGCAGGGCAACTAAGCCAGCGCACCACCATTCCTGAAGCCTACGTGCTCGGCAACAGGAGAAGCCACGGCAGTGAGAAGCCCACACACTGCAACCAGAGGGCAGTCGCACTCACCACTACCAGAGAAAAGCCCTCGCAGCAACGAAGGCGCAGCACAGCCCAGAGTAAACAAATAAACAAAAAGGTCCACATCAAAAGGTAAAACGAGCTGAGGCTCCTGAGAAAAGCCAACCACAGTGAAAGGGGATTCTCTAGAGCAGAAAGAAAAAGACTGCTGTACGTGTTCTATGATTAAGAGACAGGGAGATACAGACTCATCCAATGACAACTTTTTTTGTCCTTTCTATTAGAAAAAACAAAACTCTATTCCAGAAGGATGAACACAAGTGAATATAAGAGGAAACTAAAGACCGAGACATTTCAGGAAATAAGGGTATCTAGATGCTTAATGTCAGTTAAATTCCCCAAAGGCAGTACTGTATTTCACAGCACTGTTCTCCAACCTTCTTCATATCATGGCACACACAGAAAATACTAATATTTGTCTGACTCACTGTAGTACCCTACACCGGTAAAGAAAACCAGTCTTTGGAAGCTCCCTGGCTGGCCAGTTTGGGAGCTCTGGCTGCAAGGGCTGAAAGAATCCATTTCTTGTCTGCCTGTAAGAATTCCCATTGCCCCAGTACTTGGAAACTGTAAGAATTGGAAAGTTGACCTAGGATCAAAGGAGATATGGCTACATCCTAGCCTGTGTTCACACGTCCATCAAGAATATGCAAGCCTAGCTGTCTTTGCAGTGGGTTGAATCATGGTCTTCAAACAGATATGACCATGAACTAATGTCAGGAATCTGTGAATGTGACCTTCTCTGGAAAAGCATCTCTGTAGTGTTATGGAGTTAAGGATTTCATGATGAGATCCATCCCAGATTTAGGGTGGCCCTACGTCCAATAACATATTAAAAAGAAGAGACATCACTTTGCCTAACGAAGATCTGTTTTGTCAAAGCTATGGTTTTTTCCAGTAGTCATGTATTGATGTGACAGCTGGACCATAAAGAAAGCTGAGCACTGAAAAATTGATGTTTTCAAATTGTAGTGCTGGAGAAGACTCTGAAGAGTCCCTTGGGCAGCAAGGAGATCAAACCAGTCAATCCTAAAGGAAAGCAACCCTGAGTATTCACTGGAAGGACTGACGCTGAAGCTGAAGCTCCAATACTTGGACCACCTGATGCGAAGAGCTGACTTTTCTTGGAAAAGACTCATGCTGGAAAAGCTTGAAGGCAAAAGGAGAAGGGGACAGCAGAGCATGATATGTTTAGATAGCATCACCAACCCAATGGACATGAGTCTGAGCCAACTCCAAGAGGTAATGGAGAACAGAGGAGCCTGGCGTGCTGCAGTCCACCGGGTCACAAAGAGTTGAACACAACTCAGCAACTCAACAACAACACATCCAATGATGGGTGTCGTTCTAAGAGAAAGGCAAGAGATTTGAGACTCGGGCACCAGGAAGAAGGCCATGTACAGACGGAGGAAGAGTTGAGAGTTCTGTAACTGTCAGAAGACAGAAGAAGCAGGGAAGAACTCACCCTCTGAAGAAGGGAGCATGGCCCAGCCAACACCATAATTTGGACTTCGGGCCTCCAGAACTGTGAGAGAATTAATTTCTCTACAGCAGACCCAAGAAACTAAGACAATCCTCTTTTTCTTTTGCTGACAGACAAAAGTTTGGAGGACATGGGAAAAGCAATAGAAATGTAAACATCTGGATTTCTGCAATGAACCTGACAAAAACTTGTGAAAAAGTTTGGATAAGAAACCACACCTCTCTCATGGACTGAATTCTGGGTCAGAATTACAAATGCAGCCTGAGACTGCTGCTCAGCAGAATCCCTCTGCTTTTCATCAGCATGGAAGTTCCTTCAGAGCAGGCAGTTTTTTGCCTGTTTTGTTCACTGCTATATCCCAGGGCCTAGAACTGTGGCAGGACAACATCAGGGTTTTCACACATGAGCCGATTCATTACCTTTGTGTTCTCGTCTTGATCTGGCTTCTGTTTCCTTTTTTTACTTTGGCTGTGAAACTGGACCACTTCTACTGACTCCCTGTCATTCCTTGGGGGAGGGCAGGCTGCTGCAGCTCCAGCGCCTACAGGTCCCGCAGGGGAACAACTGGGGGTCACAGCAGGAGCGCCCTGCAGCTCTTCCTGGAGCTCCTGGAAGAAGCTGGCAGCACTCCTCCTCTGGCCTCTGACAAGAGACTCGGGTTGGGGAGCTGGCTCTGTTGCCAAAGCTGCCAGGGGCCCCGTACCTCTCTTCTTCTCTCTCTTTTTTCTGACTCTTTTCTCTTCTGTTTCATCTTCTGTCTCTCCTGTTTGTTCGAACACAAAAAGGAAAAATAAATATTTTGTGCTTCAGCTGTCACCAATATCAAATGATATGAATGCGCACGTCCATATGTCACAGTTTACAAACACCCAGAAATACACACAAAGAAGATATTTGTTTTTCTTTGGAGGGTCGTATTCAATATCCGCACAATTCAGAGACTCCAAAGCGCTTAGTCATCTTTCCCAAGGTAATTACATTCATGTCTTTGACTCTTAGCACAATTACCTAGTCCTCGCCGTGGCCCTGACTAAAATGTCATCATGACAACATCCCAGGAACTGACAATCCTAGCTGGCTCACAGTCTGTACTAAAAATGTAAGCAGATCTACCACTGCTGCTTTTTAACACTCGCTAGGGTTACAGGTGGGTACCACAGTCTTCCTATTTCCTTTCATGGTTATAAACGAAAATGAATCTAAGACAACTGGCTTAATTTGAAAGCCTTTGAAAGTGAAAAAGTGAAAGTCGCTGAGTTGTGTCTGACTCTTTGTGACCCCATGGACTCCTGTCCATGGAATTCTCCAGGCAAGAACACTGGAGTGGGCAGCCATTCCCTTCTGCAGGGGATCTTCCTGACCCAGAGATCGAATCCACGTCTCTTGCATTGCAGGCAGATTCTTTACCATCTGAGCCACCAGGGAAGCCCAAGATGAACTTAAGACAACTGGCTAAATCTGAATGCCTTTATTTTCAACGAATATACCTCCCCTTTGTTTTAACTGTTTAAACTCTGACCAGTCACCTGAAGATTCTGACAAGAACTCTAGGCCTCACTACTGACAGTATGAATATCACAGGGCTCTCTAAATATTAGCTGAGTATTTATGCTTGCTTCTATTTTCTCAGTTTCTTATTCAGTAAATGTGTATCAGACTTCTTTACCACAGTGGTCCAGTGGTAAAGAATCCGCCTTGCAATGTAGGGGACACAGACTTGATACCTGCTTCTGGAAGATTCCACATGCTGTGGGGCAACTAAGCCTGTGGGCCACAATCACTGAGTCCATGAACTGTGACCACTGAAGCCTGTGAGTCTACAGCCTGTGTTCTCCAACAGGAAAAGTCCCCAAAAGGAGAAGCCAGAGCACCACTGCTAGAGAGGCGCCCTTGCTCACGCTCACCACAACTAGAGAAAAGCCCGCGTGCAGCAGTGAAGCCCCAGTGCAGCCAAAAGTTAAATTCAAAACACAAACCTTTGGTAAGAAAATATATGTATTAAGAGTCGACTAGAAAACCTTGGTCAAGATGGTGGAGTACAAGGATGTGTGCTCATCTCCTCTGGCAAGAGTACCAAAATTGCAACTACCTGTTGAACAACCATCGACAGGAAGATGCTGGAACCCACCAAAAAAAATACACCCCACGTCCAAAGACAAAGAAGAAGCCACAGTGAGACAGTAGGAGGGGTGCAAACACAATAAAATCCAAACCCATTCCCTCCGGGTGAGTGACCCACACACTGGAGAACAATAAAACCAAAGAAGTTCTCGCACTGTTGTGAAGGTTCTGAACTCCATGTCAGGCTTCCCAGCCTGGGGATCTGACAAGGACTTGGAATCTCCAGGGAATCTGGCCTTGAGCGCCAGTTGGATTTGATTACAGGCCTTCCAGAGGACTAGGGGTAAACAGAGACTCCAGTCTTTGGACGTCACAAACCAAAGTTTGTACACACCAAGACCCAGAGGAGAGGAGCAATGACTCCACAGGAGACTGAACCTAAACTACCTGCTAGTGTGGGAGGGCCTCCTCTGGAGGCGTGGGTTGGCAGGAGCTCACCATAAGGATGGGGGCACTGGAAGATCTCCCTTAGCAAGTAAACCCTCTAGGAGTTTGCCATTAACCCTACAGTAGAACCCTCAGACCCCTGGGCTGGGATGCCTCAGGCCAAACAACTACCAGGGAGGGAGTGCAACCCTACCCATCAGCAGACAATTGGATTAAAGCTTTCCTGAGCAACATCCTGCCCACAGAGCAAGACCCAGTCCCGCCTATCAAGAAGCTTGAGTAAGAGATAGTTGCTCAGTCATGTTCGACTCTTGGCAACCCCATTTTGTCATAATAAAAATCACAAATAACATACAAGGGAACTCCCATCAGGCTATCAGCTGATTTCTCAACAGAAACTCTACAAGCCAGAAGGGAAGGAAGGGCATGCCATTTAAAGTAATGAAAGAGAAGAACCTACAATCAAGAATACTCTACCCAGTAAGACTCTCCCTCAGATTTGATGAAGAAATCAAAAGCTTTCCAGATAAGCAAAAGTTAAGAGAATTCAGCACTACGGAATCAGCTTTACAACAAATGCTAAATGAACTTTAGGCAGGAAACACAAGAGAAGGGAAAGACCTATACAATTGAGACCAAACAATTAAGAAAACGGTAATAATATAGTAGGATATTATATTATATACAGTAGTAAAATAATAGGATCATACATATAGATCCTTAAATGTAAATGGATTAAATGCACCAACCAAAACACACTGACTGGGTGGGTAAAAAATGTGCATATATGCACTTCCACTTACCACATCACTCAACTTGATCCCCCCTAAATTCTATGTAATTACTTTATATCGTTAATCATGTTCCCATTATGGCTTGCAATTGTAATTATCTTTTGCTTTTTGTCTGGCTATTGACTGTGAAAACTGATAAACATCTTTTACTTTGTAATTATGTAACCACTACTCACTTAACATTATTGTATCATGATTGCTCAACAGAAAAATAATAGAACTCTATATCATGAAAACTAGGATCTAATAGAAAAACCTGTAATCACTTTTTAAAATCAAGATGTGTATCAGAATTATCTCGAATTTTTTTTGAAAAATACAATGCTCAGGTAGTTTTCTTCTTCAGAGCTCCAGATATGTTTTTAATGAGCACTCATGTTTAAAAACAGTTAGACTATAGATGATCTTTTACTTTTTACCTAGTTTCACTTTTTCTACTTCATGTTCCGTGCTCCCATTTCATTTAGTTTATTATGTTCTCCAATTTCTCCATTTCTTTTTCTCTTTCTAAAAAGCTTTTGCATACATATGTATAATATATATATTTAAGAAAACTTGAATTTTTTCCTAACTAAAAAAATTACATTTTGACTCCACTTGTTTGACTTAGTATAAACAGAATGCTAGATTTCTAATTAAAAAATAGAAATGAACAAGCAACAGAGGTTTACTGTATAGCACATCAAACTATAGTCAATATCTTGTAATAACCTATGATGGAAAATAACTTCAAAAAATAATATGTGTATTTGTATAAATGAAACACCTTGCTGTGCACCTGGAACATTTTCAGTCAACTACATTTCAATAAAATATACACATTAAAAAAAAAGCCGACTAAACTTTGGCATTAGGGATATAAAAACAAGTAGATACAGCCCGTGTCTTCAGAGCTCCAAGTGTAAATTCCGGCCTGTGTTAACACAAACTATATTTAGGATTTTGCAGAAAAGTCTTCTCCTCTAGGACTTCTCAAGGTCAGAGACTAAGTCTTCTCTGTCTTCCAACATTTCCAAAGGCCCAGAGATACTCTGTCCACAGTACAAGTCAATACAAGTGCAGGAGTTGGAAACAGACAGTGTGGGGCTTAGAATCCAAGCTCTTCAAGTTACTACCTGGGTGAACTTCCAAGTTTTTTAACCTCTAGTGCTTATTTCTCACAATAATGCTATTTGTCTTGTAATAATAGTATTAATGACAGTATTTATTTCATAAAATTGTTGTGATAATTAAATGAGTATATTCATGTAAAGTATGGAGTATATGGTAAAATCGCAATGCCTTTTTAGCTATTATTTTTTATTCTAAGCTATGTAATGAGCTTAGAATTTTGAGCAACTGTCTCCAAAATAAAACAGCAACATCACACTACAAATTTAAGAAATGTGTTTGATCTATAAGGCACTAATGCCCAATGATTTCCGGTGCATGAAGGAGTGTCATCTTCCCTGGGGTAAGTTCTTCAGAGTGTGTAGAACTGGCTCCTTGCTTAAGTGCCAGGAGTTCCCAACCTTTAACGGTAAGTTTCTTTTTCCGCAATCAAGATGAAGTAAGGAGAGCATAAGTCAGCCAACTTAAGGCTGAAAGGTCGTGAAAAGCTTCATGTGAAACCATTCTCTGAAGTCACCAAAAGACGAGGTCCCAACGCGACAAGGTGTCACCAATGCCCGAGGGTCAGGCGGATCTGGGGGGTGCGTGGGGGAAAGGGGCTTCCCAGAGGTCGGGAGTGAGAAAGGATGCCATTTCCAGAGCCTGAGGTCCTGTGCACATCTCCTCGTTAAGTCTGAAAGCGTAAATGCTTTCGACAAGCAAGCCGGTTGGCCCCCACACTCAGGAACGAGTTGGGACATCTGATTCATAGAAAGACTCACAGACCCCGGTCGTAGGTGAGGGGAGGGTGCAGGACCCATTATCTGAACCTGGTTGCAGGAGCCGAGGAGGGGTCGACAAGCAAGAATCTTTAGCCTAAAAGCTGAGGCCAGCCAGGCCCGGGGTCCTTAAGTTGGCTCTCCACGTGGGCTCCGAGGCCCAGCACTCACCAAAGTCGTAGAGTTTCTGGAGCAAAGTGTCCAGAAGGGCCTGAGAACCAGGAGGCGCGGAAGTCGCCAACCGGGGTTCCTGAGCCATCGTGAGGCCGGCGGGCCGTGGCAGGACAGCATAGATCTCGCGGGCCTCCCGCCGCTCGGCATCCCCTTCCGGTTTCTGACGGGTTGCGCGCGCCATGAGTCCCCGCGCGGCTTCCGTCCTGGTTAAGATGGCGGCGCCCGGGGTCCTGTGGAGCGGCCGTAGAGGGTGCTGCCGCCCTAGGCGAGGTCGAGCCGCCCCGCGCGGAAGAACCGCCCACAGCAGCAGCACCACCACTGCTTAGCAAAGAATCCCAGGCCACACCCGGGACAGCAGCCGCAGCATGGATCCTTCCAGTTCACCCAAGTCTTGTTTCTCCGTCGGCTCCACCGGTCCCGGGGCTGTCGTGCTCCTCTACGCGGTATGCGCCCAGGGGAGCGAGGCCGGGGCAGGGCTGCGAGAGGACCCGCTTCTCTCGGTCCCGGGTTCCTCCGGGCTGCGACCCGAGGTGCAAAGGAGTGGGTCCGAGATCCGCAGAGGAGGGATGAGGTGATTGATTTGGTTTCCAGGGCGACGGTGTATCTCTGTGTGTGAGCGTCGGTATGCTTTTAAGAAGTTTGTGTTGGTGATGGTTCCTCTGGTTCCTGCCCGCTCGTTCCTTCCCTTTCACTCCACCAGTAATGGGGCCTTCAGGAAGCTACTGACACCGGAACGAGGGAGGAAAGTTGGGAATCTCCGTCTCTAGCTAGGGCGAATCGAGCTACCTTTTGGTTGGTTTCTCGAACCGGGGAAACCTGCGGGTCTGACCCAGCCTGAGATAACCTGTGGTTCCCCACCTCGCTCTTCCGCAGGTGTGATACTCCCGAGAGAAAAAGTGTTTGGCTTGTATGTGTGCGTCGAGTTTCTAAGACTTTTAATCTAAGATTTGGAGCTTCTGGAAATTTTTATTGTGTTTCTCTGTCTCTGTCCATCATTGTACTTTTCCCACAAGTCATTTTGAAAGACAGCTAATGGCACCCGGCCTCCCTACAGTTGCCCTTTTCACCGCCTAAACCCCTTCTGATTTTAACTGGTCCTTTTTGACAACGGAATGTTAGTCACTCACAGATTCGTGAAGACATTTTGAGGCAGAAATTTGTAGCTCTCAGTATTGCACAACCGTGGGGCAATTGACTTTAAAAAAATTAATTTTTATTTACCATAGGAAGAAATAAAAGTGTGTATTTTAAAGTCATGTTATCAATGTTCTGGCTTAAATCTAAGGTTAATTTATGTAGGAACTTGGTAACAGGGAAAGCATGAAAGAGCAAAGTAAACCAGAAACTCAGTTTCAGAAAAGAATGTACATATGATAAAGAATCCACCTGCAATGCAGGCGACCCAGGTTGGATCCCTGGGTCTGGAAGATCCCCTGGGGACAGGAATGGCAACCTTCTGCAGTGTTCTTGCTTGGGAAATCGCATGGACAGAGGAGCCTGGCGGGCTAGCCTATGGGACTGCACAGAATTGGGCATGACTTAGTGACTGAACAACCGCAACAACAACAAAACCCACATCTACCTTCAAATTGGGAAATCAGTGGAGCATGGGAAAACTTCTGTTGCCTTGCTGTGAAGAGCTTGGGCTTATAATTGCTGATAATTGTCCACTCTCCTAAGGTTTATCACTTGTGCCTTTCTCTTCATTGACCTCACTTCGTAGTTCAGTGAGATATTTCAACCTTGGAATGTAGTGAAGAGGGTTACTGTGTAGCTCTGACTCCCCATAGGTAGCTTTTTCAGCCTTAAACTGGTTCATGAATTAACAGCAATTTCCCACATGTGTATTAAAGGAAATAATTGATTTTTATTTCCCCCACTTACCAAAGATAAGACTTTGGTCCACTTTTCCACGTGAAAAACTGAAGCAATTACATGTACGCTGTTACTACTTTTGCAGCTAGACAGCAACCCTCACTACTCTTGTGACTACAGGCTTTAGTTTCTTGTTAACCTGAACTTTTTCTTACTGGTTCAGACTGCCCTTATATATTTCCTCGCCATGCTCTTAATTGTGCAGCACTCTAATCTTAAGAGATGTTTTAGAAACCACTGATTGCAGCAGATGTTGCAGCAGTAAGTACCTACAGTGTCCTAGTCAGCATTGTCATTGTCCAAGGTATGGAAGTTAAAGATCCACCTCTTGCCTTTAAGGACTTGGCAGGAGATCATGAAAATTAACAAATAATCATAATTAAGTGACATAAGGGCTTCCCAGGTGGCATTAGTAGTAAAGAACATGCCTGCCAATGCAGGAAACATAAGAGACGTGAGTTGAATCCCTGGGTTGGAAAGATCCCCTGGAGGAGGGCATGGCAACCCACTCCAGTATTCTTGCCTGCAGAATCCCATGGACTGGTGGGTTACAGTTCATCCACAGGGTCATGAAGAGTCAGGCACAACTGAAGCAACTTAGTACACACACAAGTGAGATCAGCGCAATGATTGAAGCATGCACAGTATGTTGTGGGATGGATGAGAAGGAGTACCCAAGCTGTTTGGGGACTTGGAGGAGGCTTCTAAGAGAATATGACACCTGAAATGAGATTTTGAGATATGAATGGTAGATGAGGAAGACGAAGACTACCCTAGGTGCCAATGTAGGAAGACCACACCCTAGCATGTTTGGGGGAACCAACATAGGCTCAGGTAGAATAAAGGGAATATGAGAAGCACTGATAAGCAAATAGGCAGAGGATATTTCCTAATGGAGTTTTATATGTTTAAGTGCCCTCAAGGATAAATCTTAGCTTTATGAGGCAACCATTTATTTTTTTTTGGCTGCGGCATATGGGATCTTAGTTTCCTTTCTGACCAGGGATCTAACCTGTTCCCCCTGTGCAGTGTTAACCCCAAGATCACCAGGGAAGTCCCTACGGGGCATCATTTAAGGATGATCGGATTTGTATTTTTGAAAGTCCAAGAAGACTACTAGTTTTCTCAAATTGTGTGGATAATCTCTTTTACTAAAGCAGAGACTGTAGAAAGACTTAGGGAAGAAATCTGATCTGGAAGCGTGAAGATCAGTTAGGGCTCTGTTGCCACAGTTCAGGGCAGTGATGAGTGGCAGTGAGTCTGTGGAGAAGGGAGATGGGTGAGTTTGTCTGGTGCTCTGGACAGTTACATGTGGTGGCTAAGAGGTGGCCATCTGAAACTGACTCCTGATTTCTGTGATAAGGCGCCTGGGGGGACGATGCCACCTTTCACTGAAAGAAAGAGGAAGAGGAACAGGTTTAGTTGGGATTATACAATAGTAATTTCAGTTTAGGATGTGGTGAGTTGGAGATGTAAGAGGCAATATTGTGATTTTTAACTTGTGAATTATCTTGTTGTGGACCCAATACATCACAAAGATTTGGGAAAACATCCAAATACAGTTAGAAATACGATATTTCTAATGATATGATCTATAAGTATATTTCATATGATATTTAAATATGATACCAGAGTAAGAGGATGATCTGGCCTTCATACATGGATATGACGGTCATCAGCAAGTAGGTTGTATCTGAAGCCATAGGTCTCTTGGAATCTTCAGTGATACCACAGATGAAAAGCAGGCTGGGACTGGGTAATTGCTGGGTGTACCCATAACCCAAATTACAACTTCCTATTAGAGTCTGACTGAAAAGTCTAGTCCTTTTACAGTGTCCTACAAGACTACACAGTCGGGCGACTGCTCTGCCTCTGAACTGACTCATCTCGCTCGCTGGTATTCACCCACACTGGCCTTCTGTTTCTCAGAAGTAAGCATGCTCCCTCCTCAGAGTACTTAGAGTCCTCTCTGTGTGACATGCTGTGTTTTCCCAGAACTTTGCATTGCTGGCCTTTTATTATTATCATTATTATTATTATTATTGTGATCCCAGCTCAAACATCATCTCAAAAAGGCCTTACCCACCCCCTGACAGTCAATCTAAAGTAGCTCTCCAATCACTCTCCTTCATTAGTTACTGTTTTATTTTCTTTATATTCTCTCTTCAGTGTTGTGCTACAGCAGTTTATCCTGACTTTCAAAGCTCATTGTTTAACTTGTATGAAGTTTGCAACCCTATGGTTAAAATACTGCTGTTATTAAAAATAAAGGTTATTATATAAATTTCCATTAAATAAATTGTTAAAAATAGTTAATACAACTCAGCACTTCCTCATTACTTTACTAAATTTCACTGTTACACTCTTGAAGTTATTTATGTCACACTGTAAGGTGGAAATCCTAAAGTACAGTGGCTCCTTCCATCTCCTCCTAACTCTTAGGTTTAGTAAGGTTGTGTTGGTAGCTTGAGGCTTCCCAGGTGGCACTAGTGGTAAAGGACCCGCCTGCCAATGCAGGAGATGTAAGAGACAGAGGTTCAATTCCTGGGGTGGAAGACCCCCCTGGAGGAGAGCATGGCAACCCACTCCAGTACTCTTGCATGGAGAATCCCGTGGGCAGAGAATGCCGTGGCGCGTGGGTCCGTAGGGCTGCACAGAGTCAGATACGATGAAGCACCTTAGCACCCACACAGGCATTGGTAGCTTGAAACTTGCCAGGGTGGGAGGGTGTATACCACAGACAGTGGCACATGCTATAAGTCAAGGCGCTCCCATAGAGGCACCTTTACCAGCATGTTATGGTGGACCCCTGCATGAGCCCGTCATGTTTCTTCGTTGTTTATCCCTTTAAGGACACACTCAGCTCCCTCGCACACCCTGTCTGCCTTGTTCAGGCTGTATTCTTAGCCTGTGGAACAGTGCCTGGTGTATTTGGGGCTCTTGGTCACTGTTGAGCGAATGGGCCCACCGGAGCAGTTGAAAGGGGGGTACAGGTAGAGGCTTGCTGTACAGAGTAAGATAGGGAAGACAGTGGCGGAAAAACACTTCACTGACTTGGACTCCTCATTGTATTTTCCTCCTGTGAGTGTTTATTTTAGGATGGTAAATACTTGTCCAGCAAGATGTGGGGAAGGCCAGTTAAGGAGCAGTAACACTCAACCCTGGCTGCATGTTGGAAGTACTTAAAGTACTTTCAAGAATACTTCCGATACACAGGGAGAACTCACAGACCAAAATAATCAGGAATCTTTGGGAGGGCTTGGGCATCAGAATTTTTTTTAAGTTCCCTGAGTTAATTTTAATATGCAGCCTGTGTTTAAAACCACTGTATTAGACATTGAGTTAGACCAGATTGGGAGAAGTTTGAACTTTAGACTGAATATTGGAGAGCTCTCATCAGCAGGGCTCAAGAAGTGGCTTCATTTAGTAATTTATGTTATCATTCTACAAATGATGACTGGGTTCCTACTAGGGACTAGAAGTACAAAAAGGTATGACACAGGACAAGGAGCTTCCCTGGTGGCTCAGTGGTAGAGAACCTGCCTGCCAGTTCAGGAGACGCAGGTGCGATCCCTGATCTGGGAAGATCGCCCATGCTCCACAACTGCTGGGCCTGTGCTCCAGAGCCTGGGAGCCGCAACTACCAAATCCTGTGCGCCCTGGAGCCCGTGCTCTGCAACAAGAGAAGCCACAACAATGAGAAACCTGCACACTGCAACTAGAGAAGAGCCCTCACAGCAGCGAAGACCCAACACATCCAAAAAGAAAGAGAGAACAAATTTTTTAAAAAGACATATGACAAGAAGTTCACAGTCTTGTAGGGGAAACACCAAATACAAGTTTATTGAAGTTTTCTAGATAAAAATGTAATGAGGATTCCCTACATACTCAAAGAAGAAGATGACCATTTCTGTCCTAGGTTAAAGAGAATCTAGAAAAAGTACACAGAGGAGGTGTACGGAAACTGTGGTTGAAGGCTGAGTACTGTCCAGGCGAACAGTGGGGGAGGGCCATCTGTAAGTGCCCTGTCTCAACAACTGGTCCCACCGTGCACCTGGTTACCAACAAAAGAAGCTGTGGCTCTCTGGGTCACACAACTCATATCCCCAACATATACCACAATGCCAAGAATATTAATTACAGGTGCCAAATGTTTGATAAGGAATGCTGCTCCTGGAGGTAACTTGAACAAAGCTGTAGGAGCCATGGGCTGTCATAGCTTGTTTAGGTAACTAGGTCTTCGTGTAGCTGGGTCAAGTGTTAAGAGGTGTGAGTTTGATCCTGCAGTTAACAGAACCATGGAAGGACTGTAGGTGAACGTATCTTGGAAGTTTGGAGAGTATGCATACCTGCTGCTCTACCTGGCGAGTTCTTGTTCTGAGGACTCCCTTTCTCCCCGCTCCCCCTTCCTCTCTCTCTCTCTGCACCCCCCAACCCTATACACACCTCCCCAACTGATTCTGGTCCTTTTCTCTTCCCACACCTAGGACCATAAATGGGAAGTCTCTTAAGATCTTTCTGTCCCTAAAATTATATCATTTATAATGGTAATTTGTGGCATTCTACCCAGTCTGAGCCTATATAACTTATACTGTTACTTAGAGAAATGTGAGATTTCATGTGAGGTTCTTCAGCAGGAGTCTGTGATATGTTAACAGTGACTGCAGTTTTATACCAGAGTTCCAACAGTTACAATATTTTCCCCTCATACATTTTATTTATATATGAACATAAAAATGTTCATGTTTGCATATTTCATACTACCCTTTCATACTTAAGCTCCCCATTAATGTTTTTTGCTTCTGCTTATATTCGTGTTGTTTAAAAATCTGGATTTTTTTAAAAAATTATCTTAACATTTAGTCATTCAGAATATATATATTCCAAGCACAGCTAGATGTTGGAAATACACAGATGCAAAATACAAAGATGCCTTCAAGTTAATTGCATTTTAGTAGGGAGGTAGATGTGCAAGTGATCACACATCATGGGATACATACCATAATAGTTGCATGTAGAAAGAAGCCCTAATGAGGAAGGCAGAGTGATTCCATCAGGGGAATTCGAGGCGTTTTCACAGAAGAGCAAGGATGGTAGGACATGGAGGAGTGTTTTTAACATTAAGTTTTTAAAAATCAGGTGACAAAAATAGGTGTGTGATTGAGGAGAGACTGTGTCCACAGGCATAGAAACAAGCATTTGCTGAAATAGTATTTGGCTTATTGGGTGTCGATTTTAGTTTTCTTCTTTGTGCTTTTTTGTATCCTCTGAATTTTTATAATGAACATGTATCACTTTGGTAGTTAGAAAAAAATATATTAAGAAGTTAAGGAATATAAAGGTGATTATACAGCCACTAAAATATTTTAAAACAATATTTATTAATAATATAAGGAAGTTCTCAGAATACAGTTAATAAGATAAACTGTATTTGGTTTAAACCAAGATAAACCATATTTGGTATGGTCCGTGTTTCAAATTTTAAAATATGTACTTTTTAATCTATGAATGAAAAAAATAAGGAAACGAGCAGTAAAAGCTAAGAGTAGTTATCCCAGAGTGTAAGCTTGTGGGTAGTTTGTCTTTGCTTGTGTGTTTCTGTGTTTCTAAATTTCCCATAATTAACATGCTGAGTAGTATAGGATAGTGGTTAGAAACAAGGTCTGTGACGAGATAAGGCTTGAACTTAAGTAATGTCTCAACGTCTCTTGGAGAACTGTGGGACCTTGACTGAGTTATTTCACTTCTTTTTGCCTAAGGCTCTCCACCATGAAACGGGGTAGTGATATTAACTCCCTTACAGGGTTGTTGTGAGGATTGCCCCTTCATAGAGGTTAAGTTCTTAGAATATTGCCTGACACTTAGGAAGCAATGATGCATGTTAGCTGTACTGACTATTACTACTATCACTTTTATCATCAGAAAAACAAACTTTTAAGAATTAACAATTTAGAAGTCATTTAATGTTTTAGAAGCCTAATAACAAACAGTTTCAGGGGCAGGTTGGCTAGAAGCTGATTTGCAGTGGTTGAAAGGAGACAAGAAACTAATACAACAAAATATGAACTGCCCCAGAGCTTATATCGGAGAAGGCAATGGCACCCCACTCCAGTACTCTTGCCTGGAAAATCCCATGGATGGAGGAGCCTGGTGGGCTGTGGTCCATGGGGTCGCTAAGAGTCGGCACAACTGAGTGACTTCACTTTCACTTTTCACTTTCACGTACTGGAGAAGGAAATGGCAACCCACTCCAGTGTTCTTGCCTGGAGAATCCCAGGGACGGGGGAGCCTGGTGGGCTGCCGTCTGTGGGGTCACACAGAGTCAGACACGACTGAAGTGACTTAGCAGCAGCAGCAGAGCTTATATGGGAGCACTTTTGTCTTGAGTTTGTACACATGTACTCTTAATTTATTTGACACAATGGTAACTTTCTAATGTACGCTTTGATTTAATTTTTAAGACTAAGTGAAGGGACTTCCCTGGTAGTCCAGTGGATAAGACTCCATACTCCCAGTGCAGGGGGCCCAGGTTGGATCCCTGGTCAGGGAACTAGATTCCACATGCCACAACGAAGAGTTCGCATGCTACAGGTAAAGCCTGGCACAGCCAAATAAATTTAAAACAAAAAAATTTTTAAAACAAGTAAAAGAGGCAGACACAACAAGTGTGATGGATGAAACCTGTGAAATTGATCAGATTTGCTCTAGAGCTTAGTGCCCACTTTTACTGTATTTGTTAACTTTCCCACAGGGACACTGGCTTTATAAAGAGAACAATCAAAAATAAAATATTACAATTTAATATCAATTCATTGAGCCTAATAATAACTACATTTTTTTTTTCTTACTATGTGAAAATCTAACATCGGAACACCCTGTTCTTTTTTTTTTTTTTTTTGCTTTTCTTTTTTAGGCAAAAATTTATTTAGACCCACTCACTTCATGTATGGAATTCTCTCAGATACATATGGTGGTGGTGGTGGTGGTAGTTTAGTCACTAAATTGTGTCCAACTCTTTCGACTCCATGAACTGCAGCCAGGCTCCTCTGTCCATGGGATTTCCCAGGCAAGAATACTGGAGTGGGCTACTATTTCCGTCTCCAGGGCATTCTGTCCCTGTTCTATGTCAGAATAAAAATTTCTACAGAGATGAAACCTTACCAATGTAGTTCCTAACCTGTCTTAATTTATTTTACAGCATGTTCATGACTTTCTTTCCTTTGTCTTGTCCACAGAAAGAGCTCAAAAAGTGGGATGAGTTTGAAGATATTTTAGAGGAGAGGAGGCATGTCAGTGACTTGAAGTTTGCAATGAAATGCTACACACCTCCTGTCTATAAGGGAATTACTCCTTGTAAGCCAAGTGATATTAAATGTAGTGTTCTCAATTCTGAAGAGATTCATTATGTCATTAAACAGGTAAGTGATTCCATCTTCAGCCATATCCAGATTCATTCATTGTGTACAAGTTTCTTTTTTTCTTGATTCTATTAATTTATTTTGCTATTTTTAATGTATCTTTTTAGATTTCACTATATTTAGCACATCCATCCAATGTTTATTTTACCTATAATGCATGTTAGCCTCTTTGCTAGATGTTGTGTCTAATAGTGAACTAGTTGAGCAGAGTTCTTGACCTCTTGGGTGTTTAGTCTAATAGGAAATGATGACAGGTGTACAGTCAATTACAATGAAATACATACACAAGACATGCTAGTGGGAGGCCAGTGTACAAGGACATTAATTAATTATAAGGGTGATTAATTTTGTGCAGGGAGTAAGAGAAGTGATTTTTTTAAATAGGGCTCGAAAGATGTGTAGGGACTTTCCATGTGAAATAGGTGAAGAAGAGTGTTCCTAGCAGAACAAATAACTTTTTTCCTGTGGTTTTCAAACCTCATGGCACATTAAAATTATTCAGGGAGCCTTTAAAAGGCCCTCTACCTACATCTCACATTGGGTGAATGAAGTGAAGGAAAGGAAGAATCAAGGCTGATGGAGCCATTCACTGAGTTAGGGGCTTAGAAGAGGGATGAAAAGAGGGCTGAAGGGAGAAGCTGTGCTCTGCGCTCTGGACACGCCACTTGAGACGTCCAGGTCCAAGTCCCAGGGCGGCATGTTGGAGCATCGCGGTGGCGGCCCTTTATTGGGTGGTGTGCTTCTACACCTCGACATTCATGGAGAGATCCTGCTTCTTTGACATTTAAGTGGAGGTGAGTCAGGTTTATGGCCTTGGGACATTCTTATTTTATTTTATTTTATTTTATTTTTTGGGCTGCACCACATGGCTTGCAAAATCTTAATTCTCTGACCAGGGGATTGAACCTTGGCCTATGGTGGTGAAACCACAGAGTCCTAACCACTGATCTGCCAGGGAATTGCCAGGAAAACTCTTTATTATCTTTATTATTTGCTGTCTGTTTTCCTCTGATTTAGACTTATGACCTATGCTGTTAATCATATTGTTTTCATCTAGCATGATCTGTCTTGGGGAAATTATTAATCTTCTCTCACTTCACATAAGTGAAGTCAAGTTTCCTCATCTGTTAGAAGATAAAGACAGTTGTTCTCAATACTGACTCTTTGTTAGAATCACCTAGAGAACTTTGGCAGAAGTTAACCACAATTTTCCACAAGTATGTAAACTCTGTGAAAGCAAGAATTTTTTTGTCTCTTTCTCTTTTAAACTGCTATATTCCTGGTACCTAGACATAGTGCATGTTCAATAAATACTTCTTGAATTAATGGATAAAAAAATACTTTGGTCCCATCCATAGGGATTCTGACTCAATTGGCCTAGGATAGGACCCAGGCATTCTTCTCTTCTCTTCGTCTCCTTCCTTTCTCCTAAATGGCACTTTTTAATTGCCCCGTTCTTCTTGAACCTCCAAATCTACCTCCACGTCCTCTTGACAGATGACTTTTCTTCCTACTTCACAAAGAAAATGTAAGCCATTATGTGGGAACTCTTTGAACTTGCTGTGATCAGGCTTCTAATTTACCTGCACCTAATATACATCATTTTCTTAAATGGAGCCCCTTCTGTTTGAGTTTAATCCCTACCCCACTCCTTTGCTCTGGATCCCTCCTCCCTTCTGCTCCTCATCCTCAGGGACTTGGCTCTCTTGTCTGTTCAGTCAGATGTCTCAGCTTCTTCCTCTTTATCAGCTCTTTACCATCAGCATTTAATATGCTCACTGCTCTTCCAGGTTAAATAGACCCCCTTTGACCACGTTCCTTCTCTCCTTAGTACCCCTCCCTTCCTTTCCCACTTCTCTGCCCTTTGAAGAAGTTGACTGGTTTCTAGGCCTCTTGCCCTACTTTCTCACCCTTCATATACTGGCTTCCAACCCCTTGTGGTAGTTCTTCCCAAGGCTGTGAATGACTTCCTTCCTTATGACTAAAATCAACCTAGTTCAAATCCTGGCTAACTTTTGGCACATGCTTTGTCCTTTCTTTCCATGACACCATAGTCTTCCACTGAACCCACCACATCTGTGTTTTTATTCCTCAGTTATCTTTACGGGCTTCTTTTCTTTTGCCTGTCCCCTTAAATGCCGCTATTCCTCAAGATTTTGTTCTCGCCCCTTCTTATTGTACTCACTCACTGGGCAGTTTCATTTGTTGCCAGAATTTTAAGTACCTTCTTTATACTGTCTCCATATTATAATATTCAGTTCAGTTCAGTTTAGTCGCTCAGCTGTGTCCAACTCTTTGCGACCCCATGGACTGCAGCACGCCAGGCCTCCCAGTCTATCACCAACTCCTGGAGTTTACTCAGACTCAAGTCTGTCGCGTCAGTGATGCCATCCAACCATCTCATCCTCTGTTGTCCCCTTCTCCTCCCACCTTCAATCTTTCCCAGCATCAGGGTCTTTTCCAATGAGTCGGTTCTTCGCATCAGGTGGCCGAAGTATTTGGAGTTTCAACTTCAGCATCAGTCCTTTCAATGAATATTCAGGACTGATCTCCTTTAGGATTGAATGGTTGGAACTCCTTGCAGTCCAAGGGACTCTCAAGAGTCTTCTCCAACACCACAGCTCAAAAGCATCAATTCTTTGGCGCTCAGCTTTCTGTATAGTCCAACTCTCACATCCATACATGACCACTGGAAAAACCATAGCTTTGACTAGACAGACTTTTGTCAGTAAAGTAATGTCTGTTTTTTAATATGCTGTCTAAGTTGGTCATGGCTTTTCTTCCAAGGAGCAAGCATCTTTTAATTTCATGGCTACAATCAACATCTGCACTGGTTTTGGAGCCCCAAAAAATAAAGTCTGTCACTGTTTCCGTTGTTTCCCCATCTATTTGCCATGAAGTGATGGGACCAGATGCCATGATCTTAGTTTTCTGAATGTTGAGTTTTAAGCCGACTTTTTCACTCTCCTCTTTCACTTTCATCAAGAGGTTCTTTACTTTTTCTTTGCTTTCTGCCATAAGGATAGTGTCATCTGTGTATCTGAGGTTATTGATACTATAATCTTGATTATAATATTACTATATAAAAATAGTATATTATAAATAATATAGATAATTAGTATCTATTGTTTCAGCCCAGATCTCTTTGGAGTTTCATGTGTATTTTTGTAGTTTATTGGATATCCACTTGGAAGTTCCCAAAGCATCTCATATTCAAGATGTATAAATCAAAGTCTTTGATTCACCTTACCCTCATGCCATGGATATTCTCCCACCCCATCCCCCACCCCAGATTACCCTGTCTCCAAGAATGCTCCCCACCATGTGTTAGTTGCTCAAACCAAAAATCTGGATGCCGTCTTCCACTTCTGACTTTACTCTCATACACTGGCAGTCACTGAGAGCTGCTGATGTGCTCTCCTGAAAATAGCTCTTGTCTATTTTCTTTCCATGTCTGCTGCTCCTTCTCCGCCTCGGGCTCCCTTTGTCTCACAGGGTGTGGTAGCAGGATGTTATCACATCTGCATTTAGGAGACTGCTCAGGTTTGTGCGATGGAGAATGAACTGAAGGAGGGACAGCACTGGGCACAAGCAGTGGGAAGACTGGCTTCTTTAGGTTTCCAGGAAGAGGGCTCTATTGGGACGGCATGTCTGTTGGGCACATGAGAAGCCCAGCTGCACAGAATAAGAGACCAGGTCACTCTCTGCTTCTCTGGTTTCCTCCAGTGCCTCGAGGAAGTCATTCCTCCTGAACAAACAAGCCTGTTAACTTGTGTTCTTCATCTATTCACATCCTTCCTGTCTCCAGGGGTCTTGTCTTCCGTACTCCCCAGCGTTCTTTGCTGGCTCAAATTGGCATATACATTTCCTATCTGGAGGAAGGCCCCCTCCTGGCCATGTATTCTTTCTTTTAAATCTCCAGTTCTCCTTTCCTTCTTACCTTGACTGTTAGAAGTATAGGCTGCCCTCTTCAGTTCAGTTCAGTCGCTCAGTCTTGTCCGACTCTGCAACCCCATGGACTGCAGCATGCCAGGCCTCCCTGTCCATCACCAATTCCTGGAGCTTACTCAAACTCATGTCCACTGAGTCAGTGATGCCATCCAACCATCTCATACTCTGTCGTCCCCTTCTCTTCCTGCCTTCAATTTTTCCCAGCATCAGGGTCTTTTCCAATGAATCAGTTCTTTGCATCAGATGGCCAAAGTATTGGAGTTTCAGCTTCAGCATCAGTCCTTCCAATGAATATTCAGGACTGATTTCCTTGAGGATGGACTGGTTGGATCTCCTTGCAGTCCAAGGAACTCACAAGAGTCTCCTCCAGCACCACAGTTCAAAAGCATCAATTTTTCGGCGCTCCACTTTCTTTATAGTCCGGCTCTCACATCCATACATGACCACCGGAAAAACCGTAGCTTTGACTAGATGGACCTTTGTTGGCAAAGTAATGTGTCTGCTTTTTAATATGCTGTCTGGGTTGGTCATAACTTTCCTTCCAAGGAGCAAGCGTCTTTTAATTTCATGACTGCAGTCACCATCTGCAGTGATTTTGGAGCCCCCAAAAATAAAGTCTGACACTGCTTCCACTGTTTCCCCATCTATTTCCCATGAAGTGATGGGAGCAGATGCCCTCTTCACACCCCAGTTTCAGAAGTTCACTTGCTGAAACCCATCCAGTGAACGTTACTGTGGGTCTCCCAAGTACCCCGATCCCGGGGGCCGGTTCAGTCTGCGCTCTGTCAGCTATTGCCGTGTCAGTGTTGTGAGACACTGGTCTTCAGATGCTCTTACCCTGACACCTGGGCCATCACACAGTTGGTCTCTTCTTACATCTTCCTTGTTAACCTCTTCTATATGTTTTTACATCTGCCAGTGTTTCTCAGGATTGAATCTTAGCAGCCTTTTTCTCTTCCTCTCTACAGTCTCCCTGATTGATTTTATCCATTCTCATCATTTCAGTTTTCATCTATAGTCTGATGATATCCAAACGATATCGCTACCCTTGGCTAGATTATTGACATTCAGAATTTTATCTCCAACAGCCCTGTTCCCCGCTGGATATCTAATTTCTGTGTCTCAGAAATACCTCAGAATCAGTATATCTGCCTTGTTAACCCCTGCACTGTCCCTACTACTCATTCTTTTGCCTAAAACTGAGCGTCACACTGCCGTTACCCTTGTCTTCAGCACCCATTATTGCCTTTGTTTGGGGCTCTTTTGTCTCTGGCCTGAACTATCTTGATAGTTTTCCAAGTGTCCTCCTTTTCCTAGGCTCATTTCCTGAAATCCATTGCCACCAAATCCTTGAGTCCTCCTTTTTCCTCTTTTTCTCATTCTGCCTTTCTAATTCTTCCTGACTAGCCTTTGCTAGGATTACTGGCTGAATTATGTCACCAGTAACTGTAATTCTCTCGTACCCCAGTCTGCTGTCCAGACAGCCGGGGATCTGCGTCACTGTAGCGCTCTGTTCATGTCCCCAGGTCCCTGGCTGCTCCTGGGAGGATGGACAGAGTTGTGCACATCAGTGATCTCCAGATTTGAGATCCCCTCTACATCAGTCCCTTCCCGTCCCCTAAACGTGCCAAACCTTAAGCTCTTATTAGACTCTACCCTTCTTGCCATTAGCAAACAATCATGTTTTTACTTTGGAGTAATGACAAATACTAGAAATTGTTTTCCTCAAATTCCTGTTCCTTATCTTCAGGTATGTCTGTATCTGCACCCGCTTCCTGTGTACTTCAGTCTGGGCTCAGCGACAAGGGCTCTGTTCTCCAGGGCAAGGCAAGCACACGTTAATCTCTTCTGAGACTGCTAGCAGACATCCTCTCCCTGTCTCTGTCTTCAGCCTTTCTTTCTCTGTTGATTCTTCCCTTAATCTGACAACAGATCCAAGGCCACCAAACCTTACACTTAAAAATAGTTAAAATGGTAAATTTCATGTTATTATATTTTATCGTAGTTTTTAAAATAGAATGATGATATAAAGACAAAAAACAGATCTAAGGCTTTTCCACGATTGGAAACATTTTTGCTGTAACTGTTGCCCTCCCTATTCTCCTCATTCAGACTTTTCAGTTATTCACTCTATGGCCACAGTCTCTACTTTCCCACCGCCTGTTCATTCCATCTTCGGTCTGTTTATACTCAGTGTTGGTTTTGTTCTGATCGTATCACTCAACCTTTCTTGCTTCATCACTTTTCTGAGTAGAAGGATAAGCTCTGAGTAAAATAAGGGAGTACTGGGTAAGAGGAAGCAGTTTATCTTGGCCCCACAGTCTTGGGCCTGTTGAACTGGCTCCTCAAAAGCTCAGATACAGGGACTTCCTGCCGATCCAGTGCTTAAGACTTTGCCATCCAGTGCAGGGGCTACGATCCCTGGTCAAGGACTTACGGTCCCACATGCCTCACAGCCAAAAACCAGAACATAAAACAAAAGTAATATTGTAACAAATTGATGAAGACTTTAAAAATGGTCCCCATTAAAAAAAAAAATCTTAAAATGTTAGAGAAAACCTGAGATATGAAGCTAAGTAGAGGATAATTATACATTTGTGAAAGTAGTAAATGCCACTGACTTATTTCCTTTGATATGGCAATTTGTGTTAAATTCACCTCAGTTTTTTTCAAAAAGTGAAACTCCTTCACTGCATGTAACTGGGGAGATTGGGGCTCTAACATCCCATCCTCGTCTTTAAGAGCATTCTCCTTTAGTAAGGACAAATATTATTTATTACATAGATTTCACTCTTTTTCAAAGTGCTTGTTTAGGGGGAGATTAAAGGAACCGATTAGGCTTCCTTGCGGACAGAAGCTGTGACTTGTTCGTCTCCAGGCACTTGACAGTCCCAGCACACAGCCAACATTTTGTTCTCTATACAGAAAGATGTGGCCTGCCATATGAATGAAGAGCATTCCATTGTGAGGTCATGAATTTCACTAATTATCCTTTGATAGTTCAGAGATTTTTGTACCAGTGTCCTGCATATCTGACACAGTGAGTGGTTATTTCAATAGAATCTTACATTTTCACCTTGTATGTTGTTGCCTTGTAATAGCACTAAGCAATTAGATGAAGAGGTACAATGATCTACTGAAAGTAACTACTTTCAAAGTATGTGTTCTCAGACACTAGATTTTGAGCAGCAACTTAGAGAATTTGGATATAAGCTTAAATCATATCCATTTAAATTAAGAAGAAAACATGCCATTTCTGAGTTATGTAATGTTAGTCCAGTTGGAACTGGTCCTACTGATTTGAGCAAAAAGAATTTGGACTTTTTTTCCCCCCCGCGAAATTTATCCCTGCTCTCCCTTTTAGCTTTCCAAGGAATCCCTTCAACCTGTCGAGGTCCTCCAAGAGGAAGCCTGTGAGATCCTGGATGAAATGAGCCACAAACTGCGACTAGGAGCCATTCGGTTTTTGGCCTTTGCCCTGAGTAAAATATTTAAACAGATTTTCTCAAAAGTGCGTGTAAATGAAGAAGGGATTCAGAAAGTGAGTATTGCTTGTTAAAAAAACAATCTCTTCTTCAACCCCTCACAGTTTCTTCAACTCAAAGGCATCTCACTTTGCATTGGATGAGCAGCTCCTGGTTATCAAGCAGTGTCCAGCCTGAGCATAAAACAGCTTTGCCTCTCTGATGGATGTTTCTCCCTCTTCCCTTCAGACCTGCAGGCTTCAGACAAACCGACTTAGTCAGTTTCGTACGGACTTAACAGACTAAGCTAATGTCAGGTGTTCACTGAGTAGCAAGAGAATTTCTGCACATGTTTCTCTGAGGTTCTACAACATTTCGTTTTCTTGTTACTCACACACCTTTCTGGCGTGTTTTTCCTATAAACAGAGACATTCTCTTGTGGTGTAGTTATCAAAAGAAGCAAATTAACATTGACACCATGCTGGTAATACAGATCCTATTCATGTTTCACCAACTGTCCCAGCTCTGTCACATACAGGCAAGGAAAGCCCTACATCGTATGTCACAGTCAGCTTCCATATCTCTTTGGAGTTTTTTAATCTAGAACAATTCCGTAGTCTTTGTTTGTGTTTCATGGTACTGCTTTTGAAGGAAACGGACCAGGTGTTTTCTGCTGCCCCTTGATCCGGCCATGTCCTTCTCAGTGTCTCAGCCTGTGAGCGGCTGTCCTCTGTTCTGGTACTGTTCACATTTGTCAGGTGCTCACTGCTCTCTGCCATGTGTCTCCACTGTAGAGTTACTCTCTGTTCCCTTGTCATTAATACACGTCTTGGGGAGTGCTTCAGGTTCCTGATGGTCATCATACTTTCCTCTGTTAGTTTTTATACCCATTGATGATTTTTGCTTCAATCCCGTTATTACTCTTACGATTGCCAAATGCTGATTTTTCTAATTCCATCACTCCTATCATTTAATACTTTATTTTTTTCTGAAAATAAGAGCTTTCTCTATGAAGATTATTTTATCCATTTATGTTTTTAATACATTTTTAAAATTTACTTGGAAACTCTTACCTTCATTGGCCTTCCTGCTCATGTCTTTTAATGCTGTGTTTTTATTCAGTCATTTACTTTGCTTCCAAGTATTTCTTCTTTTTCCTCCTGTGACTAATTTCTAAATTGCTGACTTACTGTCTGGATCTCTGCAGGAGGGTGTTTGGTACAGTGCTGGGGGCAGGGAATGTTGCTGGCTAGGTCCTAACTGATTACAAACTACCTTACCTCAGTTGATTGTGTACTTAGATTTCAGAAAAAGAGACAGTATGTTGACACATTGGGTATTTTTGAGGTTGATAGAGTGAGAAATCTATTGGGAAGTTCAGTTGCATTTGTCCCTACTACCAGGCGTCCACTCTTCCCTGAGTCTAGTGTATAAATAGAAAAGTACCATTCATTTTCTTGGTCCTAACAATGTGTAATTTTTTTTTTTAAATCTCTGAGAGAGAATCTCTTACTCTTATCTCTTCCTACAAACCACCAGTCAGTCTAGTACAGCAGCTAATTGTTGACTTCTTAACTCAGACTGACTTCAGATTCATTCCCAGGTCCCAGCGAACATTAGTGGCATGACTCTGCCACAACCAAGGAAGCTGAATAAGGCTTAGGCCTTATTTACAAATATGTGTGTGTTAAACAATGCATGTAAAATGCTTAATTGCTGCTCAACTAATAATGTGTTAGTGATCATCACCATTATTATTATTATGATCTGTAAATTTTACATTTTTAATATTCTTGCATTATGTGAGATTATTTAGCTAGAACTCAGAAATAAGTTTTGTGTATGTGGTCAGAGAGGCAGAAAAACATTGTTAGTGTTCCCTCTGTAGCACATTCTTCCACTTTCTGATATAAGATACAGGTTTAATAAGAATGAAAGCTGAAAGTGTTCCACGTGTAATCTTTGTTTTAAAGCTACAGCGAGCCATCCAGGAGCATCCAGTTGTTCTGCTGCCCAGTCATCGGAGCTACATCGACTTTCTGATATTGTCTTTCCTTTTGTACAACTATGATTTACCTGTGCCGGTCATAGCAGCAGGAATGGGTACGCTTCGGTCTTCTACTTTCCTTTTTTATTTTGGTTATAAAAATCAAAGCGTTCACTGGAACGATTTTAACAAGTCCAGGGGAGCTGAAGAAAATGATGAAAGCGTAACAGCCTCTCCCTGCCTCCAGTGCCGGGCGTAGTGGTTGGGTTGTGTCCTCCATTTGTGCTCTGCTGGCCTGAGCAGGCGTCAGCAAGCGCATGTGCACACAGGGCTTTCCATTCAGGTTAAAGGGAGATTATACTACCTACTGTTGTTGTTAATTTGATAGTGCATCAGTGGTTATCTCTATAGGTCAATAAATAGATCTAAACTCTTTTTTAAAAAGTAAAAAAAAATTTTTTAATCTAAAGGGACTTCCATGGTGGTCTGTTGATTAAGACTTCACATTTCTAATGCAGGTGACGCGGGTTCAGTGGCTGGTCAGGGAACTGAGATCCCACATGCTGTGCAGTGCGGCCATAAAATAAAAAATATTTTAAATCTTAAAAAAAAAAAAGAGGTCTAAACTCTTTTTACTATTTTTCAATTGTGGTAAAATGCACAAAACATAAAATTTGCCATCTTCATCATTTTTCAGTGCACAGTTCAGTGACATAACGTTCACACTGTTGTACTACAACCCATCCACAGAAGTCTTTTCATCTTGCAAAAATGAATTTCTGTCTTCATTTAATACTTAATCTCTCATTCTATTCTCCCTGCAGCCCCTGACAGTCAGTATTCTGTTAATGCTTTCTATCTCTACAAATCTGACTACTCCACTACCTTATGTAAGTGGAATTACACAGGATTTGTCCTTCTGTTGCCAGCCTATTTCACGCAGCATAGTGTCCTCAAGGTTCATCCATATTGTAGTGTCTGTTAGAATTTTCTTTTTTTTTTTTAAGGCTAAATAATACTCCAGTGTCCTGTTGTTCAGTTGCCAAGTCGTGTCCAACTCTTTGCGACCCCATGGACTACAGCACACCAGGCTTGCCCATCCTTCACTACCTCCCACTGTTTTATATATACCATATTTTGTTATTCACTCATCTATCCCTGGACACTTGGGATGCTTCCACTTTGTGGCTGTTGTGAATAGTGCTGCAGCGAGTGTAGATGGATAAATACCTGTTTGAGTCTCTGCTTTCAGTTCTTCCAGATATATAGCCAGAAGTAGAATTGCTGGGTTAGATGGTAATTTTATTTTTAATTTTTTGAGGAACTGCCATTTTGTTTTCTGTAGTGGCTGCACCCCAACAGTGCACGCAGGTTCAATTTCTCCACATCCAACCAACACTTATTATTTTCTGTTTATTTTTTTGTTTTTGTTAATAATAGTCTTCCTAATGGGTTTGAAGTGATATCTCATCATGAGTTTGATTTGTATTTCCCTGGTAATTAGTTATGTTAAGCATCTTTTCATGTGCTTGTTGGCTAGTTTTATATCCTCTTCAGAGGAGTATTTAAGTCCTTTGGATTGTTTATTTTCTTTGTTGATGAGTTGTAGGAGATCTTTATATATTCTGGATACTAACCCCTTATCAGATATGTAATTGTGAATATTTTATCCCTTTTCACCCTGTTGATTGTATCCTTTGATGAGTGGAAGTTTTTCATTTTGATTTACAGTCAGCCATGTGTATCCACAAGTTCTGTATTCATGGATTTAACAAGCCATAGATCAAAAATATTTGGAATAAAAACTCTAGAAAGTTCCAAAAAGCAATAATTGAACTTGGCCATTCACTGGAAACTATTTGCATAGCATTTACAGTATAGTTATAACTATTTACAAGCAGCTGTATTAAGAATTATAAGTAATCTGGAGCTGATTTAAAGTGTACGAAGGTGTGCTAGGTTATATGCAAATACTCTGCCCTTTTATATAAGGGACTTGAGCATCCAAGTGTTTTGGTACCCACAGAGAGTCCCAGAACCAGTCCCCCACAGACTTCTCCCAACCCAAGGACAACTGTAGTCCAGTTTGTCTGTTGTTTCTTTTATTTTCTGTGCTTTTGGTCTCATATCCAAGAAATCATTGTCAAATCCAATGTTATAAAGCTTTCCCCCTCTATTTTCTTCTAAAAGTTCTATAGACTTAGGTTTTATATTTAGGTCCTTGATGTGTTTTGGTTTAATCTTTGTATGTGGTATGACTTTTTCTGGTAAGATTCTAACTTTATGTCTAACATTTTTATTGCCTCATAAAATTTTATTGCTACATAAAAATTGGTACAGCAGTATATATGTATCATAATGTAGTAGTTTTGCTGTAACAAACAACTTTTCAATATATTTTCATATCAGTGCTTTTATTTCTGTAGGATTGAGTCCAAGAAGTAGGATTGCCAAGGCAAAGAAATTGTTTTTTATCTCCCTTATAGTAGCCAGGAAAGCTGGGATTCAACCAGTATGCATGTACTCAGTCATGTCTGACTCTTTGCGACCCCATGGATTGTAGCCCACCAGGCTTCTCTGTCCCTAGGAGTCTCCAGACAAAAATACCAGAGCAGTGGTTTCATTTCCTTCTCCAGGGGCTCCTCCTGACCCAGGGATCAAACCTGGGTCTCCTGCATTGCAGGCGGATTCTTTACCACTGAGCCATCTGGATTCAATCATATACCTTTGTTAATAAACCCAGGTGGCACCGTGGTCAAGAATCTGCCTGCCAGAGCAGGAGACTAAAGAGATATGAGTTTGATCCCTGGGCCGGGATGATCCCCTGGAGGAGGAAATGGCAACCCACTCCAGTATTCTTTCCTGGAAAATTCTGTGGACAGAGGAGTCTGGCTGAGCTACAGTCCATGAGGTCGCAAAGAGTCAGACACGACTGAGCACTAACAGTAAAACAAAAACTGCCAGGAACCTAAGCACTTTAAAAGCATTTCCATCTATGTAGACGTGTGAAAAAGTTATTTGAAAATTAGGAAAAAATGAAAAGAACTTTTTTAAAACTGATCGTGAACTCTTTCTTTTCTGTTTTTACTTTTCTTTTTTAATCTGTGCTTCTAAAGGAATATCAATATTTTTATCTGATGGGTAAAAAGGAAAGGAGAGAGTGAGCTAGTTCGACCTACCTGTCCAAAGCATGAAGGATGTGTTGATCTGTCATCAAGGCCAGGCTTCCCAGGTGGCTCAGTGGGTAAAGAATCTGCCTGCCAATGCAGGAAACACAGGAGATGCCAGTTTGATCCCCTGGAGGAGGGCGTGGCATCCCACTCCAGTATTCTTTCCTGGAGAATCCCATGGACAGAGGAGCCTGGCCAGCTACAGTCCACGGGGTCTTAAAGAGTTAGACACAAACAGCTGAGTACTCGCTCACGTCATTGAGGTCAGCAGCAGTACTGACTGAGAAGGTTGGCATGATGCCATGGTGACAGCTGCCGCCCCTGTCTCTAGCTGGTCTGGTTGTAGATGCAGAGGTGCATGGGAAGGAGGGTCCACAAGGTAATCCCCCTACCAGCACCTGCCCACCGAGGCCAGTCTTTCCCATAATCCCATTAGATGTTTCTTAAGATGAGGAGTGTCTTACATATATGAAACCTATCTTAGAATTTGCCTTGAGATATTTATAGGAAGTTGCACTCTGTGGATAAATACTAACCAGCCTTTCTCTGGTAGACTTCCTGGGAATGAAGATGATTGGTGAGCTGCTGCGGATGTCAGGGGCTTTCTTCATGCGGCGTACCTTTGGCGGCAATAAACTCTACTGGGCCGTGTTCTCCGAATATGTGAAAACCATGTTACGGGTAAATGCAGATAACTACCCAGTGCTTTCGAGCTGTGCTTTCTTTTCACTGACATTTGCTGTAAGGTCTTATTTAAATTCTTAACTTCTGAGTGGACCACGTAGCTGTTTCTTTCCCCTCGAGGAATGTATGTAACCTCAGCAATCTGTTTACTCTGCGTGGCTCCCTTGTTTAAGTTTCACTGTGAGCAGTGTTTGCTCAGAGGGCTGGGGAGGGAACTTGGGAAAAGGAATCAAAAGAAGCATTTATTACTTTGAGAGTAGGCAACGGGTTTTGTGTTGTTTTGTCTGTGTTTTCTCTTTAAAGAATGGTTATGCTCCTGTTGAATTTTTCCTCGAAGGGACAAGAAGCCGCTCTGCCAAGACATTGACTCCAAAATTTGGTAGGTTCCTTAAAGATTGAAGGAAAAATACAAACCCAAAAGCTTCAGGTTTGGTGTCATCATAGCTGCTTAATAGAACATGACACTTCCTTTTTTTTTTTTTGCAAGATATTCTTTACCTTATAAGTGCAACTGTTTCTTTAAGTTCAACTGTCTATATTATATTTATGGGCTTGGTATATAATGTATACTCTTAGTATCTTCCCACGCTCTTGTTTGCTCTCCTTTTCAATATGTATGAAAAGCTCTTTCTCCCTGTGTTTCCAGGTCTTCTGAATATTGTGATGGAACCATTTTTTAAAAGAGAAGTTTTTGATACCTACCTTGTTCCAATCAGCATCAGTTACGATAGGATATTGGAAGAAACTCTGTATGCATATGAGCTTCTAGGGGTTCCTAAGCCGAAAGAATCTACAACTGTACGTAAAGCTTGATAGCCAAGCTTGACTTTACTGGAATTTATAGAAAGTGCTAGTTTATACATCAACTAATTTCTGGATTTATTCCTATTTTTCCCCCCTGTTGTGACACTCATAGGGATTGTTGAAAGCCAGGAGAATCCTCTCTGAGAAGTTTGGAAACATTCATGTGTACTTTGGAGACCCTGTGTCACTTCGATCTCTGGCCGCTGGGAGGATGGGTCGGAGCCCGTATAACTTGGTTCCCAGGTGCAAGGCCTGTGTTTTCATAACTGACATAGAAACAAGGACGAAAATCTAAAAGTGTAAATTGTAATTCTTGAGTTGACCACTTGCAGAACTGAAACTTGCTTTTCTGAGATGACTCCTAGAGAAGAAAAAGCTTCAATTAATCTGTTTTCCAGACAGTTAGCTTCAGTGTGTATATTAAGCATGCCAAGCCAGACAGTGCTAAAACAAACACAAGACCTCATTGCCTGCTCTCAAAGTGACAAATGTTTCTTCTGGTTCCTTTTCCCCAGGCTCCCTCCCCAGTAACCTACAAACTTAAAAGCACAGAAAAGAAGAGTGTGTTAACAAGCACATGTATGGGAATTGTTGAGCACTTTTGGTAGGCCAGCCAGAGTATGTACTAAGTATTTTTTTTTTATTCTGGAAAGGAGTGTTTAGTAATAGTGAATGGGAGTGAGTCCCTGTTGTCAAGAAGGTTATGGTTTTACGGGCGAGGAAACATGTTAGGCTCTCTTGGGATGCAGCTGCAGTCACGCATTCGGGGGTTTTCTTAGTGCAGAGAGGTACACCTGCGGGAGGAAAGGAGACAGAGCCTGCCCAGCCAGGCCCACGTGACTGCAGCGTCGTTCATCGTTTACATGCAGTGCCAGTGGGCCCACGGCAGCGCCAGCTTCATTAGCTATCAGAAGCAGATAGTTAGCTTTTTGTAGCCACAGGCTTTCACTCTTTCGGTCTCAAAGTGGCCAATTTTATCCATTACCAGGGAGTTCTCATTGGCTACAGCTTTCACATTATTTTGTGGGTTATTATGTGACTGCTGTCAGGTCATATGCATATCCTTGGTCCAGCCAGCTCTGAGTAGGTTCCTGATATCATCCAGTGCAGTGTTTAGTGACCCAGGCATGAGGAGTGTGTCAGGTGAGGACCCTGGCAACACCGGTCAGGTGCCCTGAAACTTCTCAGGATGGCGTGGCAGTCAGGCCCATTGTACACCCTAGCAATGCAGACATGAGCAGTTGACAACAGACCGTGTATCCTATCATGACCTGATTGGTATGTTCTACAAGAGACACATTCAAAATACTATGGATTTGAACGAGGCATAATAGTTCAGTCCACTGGAGGAGGCATCAGTTTTCACAAAAGAAGTGATCTATCCCACTTACAAAGCGGCAGAAGTGTTGTTTGTCTGTTTGTTTGTTTTGGCCTGGAGTCAGGGATGATAGAACCCTGTTAGCTTGAGTATTTTTTTTAATTTATTTTTTTTATTAGTTGGAGGCTAATTACTTTACAATATTGTAGTGGGTTTTGTCATACATTGACATGAATCAGCCATGGATTTACATGTGTTCCCCATCCCGATCCCCCCTCCCACTTCCCTCTCTGCCCGATCCCTCTGGGTCTTCCCAGTGCACCAGGTCTGAGCACTTGTCTCACGCATCCAACCTGGGCTGGTGATCTGTTTCACCCTAGATAATATACATGTTTCGATGCTGTTCTCTCGAAACATCCCACCTTCGCCTTCTCCCACAGAGTCCAAAAGTCTGTTCTATACATCTGTGTCTCTTTTTCTGTTTTGCATATAGGGTTATCGTTACCATCTTTCTAAATTCCATATATATGTGTTAGTATGCTGTAATGTTCTTTATCTTTCTGGCTTACTTCAGTCTATAATGGGCTCCAGTTTCATCCATCTCAAGCTTGAGTATTTTTAATCACCTGTCGGAGCATACTGTCAAGGTAAACAGACAGATCATACTTTAGTAAAGTGCAGGTATGTTTTTTCAGTGTGGCCTTAGAGAATTCAGTTGGCATAAAGCATGAGAATCCTCTAAAAGGACTGTCTTCTCCCATTCCCTTCTCCTCTCACATTGTCTAAGTAGCAGAACTGTGATTGCTTGTTCTGTATTCTTCCTTTTAGATATATTCCTCAGAAACAGTCAGAGGAGATGCACACCTTTGTCACTGAAGTTGCCTATAAAATGCAGCTTCTCCAAATTCAAAACCTGGTCCTAAACCCATGGCCACTAATAGTTGCTGTCCTGCTTCAGAACTGGCCATCCATGGACTTTGATGCCCTGTTGGAAAAAACCTTATGGCTGAAAGGCTTAACCCAGGCCTTCGGGGGATTTCTTACTTGGCCTGGTATGTATGTGGGACATAGGTGGTTAGAATGCTTGCTCTTTTTACTTATTAAATTTGGAAACCTTATAGCCTAAACATGAAAAACCCATATAGGACTTTGAGCAAAGCATTGCTCAGAGGAAGAAAGCTTAGTCTGTTTTCATCCTGTAGGGCATTGACCAGGACATTGACCATAGCTTGTTGATGACGTGAGAATAACTGCCTCTGTGTCATGCCTCGCTGTGAGACTCCCAAGTAGACAGAGGACTAGAACACCCTCCTGTGTATCTAGTAGAGTGGGGGATAAATAACGGCTCTTTGCACCCCACGTATTCTTCCCGCTATGCCCACCTCTTTCTACCACATTATATTTGCAACCCATTGCCTTACTGGATGGTAAGGATTAAAGGGCTAGTCTTGCAGAACTGTATGCAATTCTCTGATAATCAACTTTGTAAAAACCTCATTGGAGTTGTGAATATATGCTCAGAGTTTGGAATATATATGACAGTAGTTAGCTTAAGTTACTTTCAATCTCTTTGATTTAAAATTATAGAGACTGCAATTGAAAATGCAATCTTTTGGGGGGGGCACAACCCATAACATGGGATCTTAGTTCCCCAACCAAGGATCAAACCTGTGCCCCTACATTGGAAACGCAGAGTTTTAACCACTGGACCTCTAGGGAAGTCGCAAAATGCAGTCTTTTTAAGACTAAATAATTATATATAGTCAAATACTAACTGTTCACTCATTAAACCTGGGAAGTACCAGGGGTACAAAGATGAACAAGATGTAAATAAACCCTGTTCTGGATAGAAGGCAGGATGGGTGGTGATGTGTAAACTAGTAGTTTGTTGAAATAAAGACAGAGAGCAGTGGAGAGACTGCTGAGGATTAGAGAACAGTGCGTGGGAAAGGGCCCACAGTCAGGAAGGTGTCCTAGAAGTGACTTGTGAACCAACCTTGAAGGGCAGTAGGAGCCCTTCAGGAAGGCAGCAGGGGAGGAGCATGGCTAATGCAGGGAGGGGAGCATTTAGTTGGGACAGCACTGGGTGACGTTAGAACACGGGCTTTGGGGAAGGAGTGGTGGAGATGGGCGTTTGGACAAAGGCTGGATCCCAGAGGCCTGCTGCCTTGGAGTCTGGACTAGACTTGGACATCACAGAATGCAGTTGTGGATTTTAGGCAGGGAAGTATAACGGATTGGCCTTAGCAAGCAGCCGGATTTCAGTTTCAAGATGGACCGCCATGGGGAGGGACTGGAGCCAGAGAGACAAGCAGGAAGGCTGCCACTCAGAGATGAGAACTCGGGCAGCAGAGCCAAGCAGCCACAGAGGGCGGCAGGACTGAGAGGCCTGGAGGGATTACTCAGGAGTGCCAGTCAGTTGAGTGTTGATCACCAGTAAGGAAGGATGAATCAGACATCTCTTCCCAGTATTGTAATGGTCTGACAGGAGGCAAAGGACATGTTGATTGTAATACAAGGTGTAAAGTCATGAAAGAGGAATACCCAGAAACGTATGAAAATGGACGCATCTGTCTTTCTGAGGTGTTCTGCTTTTTCAAGAGGGGATAAATGTGTGGCTAATTCATAGCTAAAAGTACCTGTGCAGCCCCCGTGACAGCTGTAGTTGTCATTAATACAGAGTGAGAGTCGATTGGTAAGTTCCAGAAATCAGGTACCAGAAGTGATCAAACACAGTTTCTAATTTACAACGTGGTGTGTATATTTGGTTCCTTTTTCACTTTTTTACCTGGATTATTTCATATTCTTAAGCATTCTCATGTCTGGGCTATGATATGCATATTATTATATTATATATTTAAAACAAATCATGTTGTATTATATATATAGTGTCATGCACTGTATCATTACCATGAGCAACCTGAGACAAGGCAGATTAGTCCAGAGTGGATGTTATTGTGTCTGGAAGGAAAAACTTCACCTCCCACTTGTCCCTTCCATGAAGCATTAGCAGAACCTGTTGTCCCACTTGAACGGCATGCCTCCTTTACACACCTGTCAGCCAGCTCTTTGTCTCAGGGTTACAATAAAATTAGTTCACTTATCAAGAATATTATCAAATAGCTCCATCTCTTTTATCGTGCTTATAATTCTGACTCCTCAGCTGTCTGTTGGCCGGTGGAGTGTCAGGGGCTGACTCGCCAGAAATTGTCATGAACCCACTTCTTCAGGTACCTCTGATACAGGAAAGCCAGAAGTCTCCTTGGTGTCCCTGTGTACTCAGGGAGACGTGACGCTTGGAGGGCGCCTGTGCGGGTTGCCCTTTGGTTCACCTCCAAAGTTGTAAAGTGATATTCTTGCCATCCTGGAATTTAGGTGTGTAGCATTATCTTTTTAAAAAAAAATTTTATTTATTCATTTTTGGCTGCACTGGGTCTTAGTTGAGGCTGCAGGTTTAATTGAGCTGTGGCATATGGGATTTTAGTTCCCTGACCAGGGTTGAACCCACTTTAGAAGGGTAGAACCACCCATCAGAAGGCATGGTCTTAATACCTTGACTCCTCCCTCCCCAGGGAAGTCCCTAGCATGTCTTCTGGTCTTAGTATTCTTAGATTCACATATGTGATTTTCGTGTCATGTAACTTGCTATTACAAAAGTGTGATTCCTGAGAAAGTGTTGGCTTTCAAAACGGGAGTTGATGTGCATTTCAGAATGGCTAACAGAGTTGGGGTAGATGAAAAAGTATGTTTTATGTCCTTAAAAAGAGTTGATTTATGATATACTGCTTTTAAAATATCCTTCACATATAGTATCATTGCCTCATTTGGTGGGGTCTAAAACCAGTATCTGCACTTCACAATAAATGTGTCAGTTCACTAGCGTTAATTCATACTGGGGGTAAGACGCCCAGCAGTGACCCAGCCCATTTCTTTGCCATTTACCTGAGTGAATTGCCTGTGTAGATAACGAACCTGCTGAAGAAGTTATCCAGTCCAGCATTCTTCTGCATTCCAACATCGCCAGCCTTGTCAAAGATCGGGTGATTCTGAAAATGGAGTGCAGAGACTCGGAACTGGTGGATGGGCTCATATTCCAGCATATCACCCTCCTCATGTGCTTGGCATACAGGAACCAGCTGCTCAACGTTTTTGTCCGTCCTTCCTTAGTCGCTGTGGCACTGCAGATGACACCTGGGCTCAGGAAAGGTAACTTTTGGTACTGTGGTCTTGAAATCTAGAAGAGACCTGGCCATTCAGTCCCATGGAGGGAGCAGCGTGTGAAGCTTTAAATGCCGTGCCACGTGTGTGCAGCCCACACACCAGCAAGGGAAGGGCCTGTTCTCAGAATTAGCCAGGTGTTTCCTCCTAAATATGTGGCTAGCTGCCTAGAACTCGGGAATTGCAAAGGACCTAAAAAAACCCATCTAATCTAAACATCTGCTTTTATAAATAAGAAACAGTAGGCCTAGAAATTTCTGATTACTTAAGGGTATGGGACGAGAGCACAGCTCTCCATTTCCTGGTCTGATGCGCTTTCTCTGATGTCACTTCCTTCAGCTGACAGAAGCAGATGGCCTGGGTGAACAGTCCCAGCAGTGCGTGAGTGCTCATATACAGGAGCGTGCTGGTCGCACCGAGGAGTATAATAACAAGTGAAACCGTTTTTTTCACAGAAACCTGTAGTCAGGACCAGGGGTTTTCTACACAAGGCTGCACTGTAGACTTTTTGGAGGCTGAGTTCCTTCCCCGAAGGCTTTTGATTCAGTTGGTTGTTTTTGTGTTTGTCATTCGAAGCTCTGTAGATCATTTTAAGGAAAAGCCAGAGTGGAGGTACACTGGGCTCAGCTGCAGACGTTTAGCCTTGGAAGGAAATGTCATTTTGTGAATGAGGAAACTGGGGCCCAGAGAGATCAGACAACTTAGCTCAGGACAAAGGAACCTCAAGCCCTGATCCTAGTTCTCCCTGAAGCTTCTCACGTTGGGATTCATCCACAACTGAGGGGCACATACGTAGTCTTCCAGAGTATTTCAGTGTGAACACCCTGAAATTGGAGGCAACCGTTTGTGTCCGTATGGAGGTATATTTTTCTGATGAGAAAAGTCATGCCAGAAAGATGAAGGTCTGTAGCTGATGGGCCAGGAAGACCCACACATCTGAGGGGTAAGACAGTAGTTTCTAGTGCTGTGTTCCAGTGTGTTCTAGTGCCAAAGATAGGGTAGAGACATCAGCAGATGTTCATGTGGAAGGGAATGGAGGAAGCCATTTCTCTCCTCCTCTGCTAGGAAACCACGCTCAGGTGAAGTGAAGTGCCCTGGCGTCTAAGGCCACTTGCTCATTTCCACACTGACTGATTAGAAGCCTGATTGTAATTCAGCTTCAACCATTGAAATCATGCTAGACTGTAGTTTACTTGTGGATAAAATTTAGATTGTTTATAGCTTCCTTCCCTGGTAGCTCCGTTGGTAAAGAATCCGCCTGCAATGCAGGAGACCCCAGCTCTATTCCTGGGTCGGAAAAGTCCCCTGGAGAAGGGATCGGCTCCCCTCTCCAGTATTCATGGGCTTCCCTGGTGATTCAGACAATAAAGAATCCGCCTGCAATGCAGGAGACCTGGGTTCCATCCCTGGGTAGGAGGATCCCCTAGAGGGAGGGCGTGGCAACCCTCTCCAGTATTCTTGCCTGGAGAATCCCCATGGACAGAGGAGCCCACCTGGCTACAGTCCATGGGGTCGCAAAGAGTTAGACACAACTGAGCAACTAAGAACACAGCATAGCTTCCTTGCCCCTGGTATATGAATAATGTGCCTTTAAAATACTACATTTTGAGCTTCAAGAGGGACAGGACATGTGTATACCTATGGCAAACCAAAGCTATTGTAAAGCAATTATTCTTCAATTAAAAATAAATAAAATTTTTAAAAAATACTACATTTTGGAGTATCATGGACTTCTTGGTACTCCCTGAATGTTTAAAAAGCTGAGTTGTAATTTTATGTAATGAATTTATTTCCAGAGGATGTCTACAGTTGCTTTCGTTTCCTATGCAGTGTTTTTTCAGATGAGTTCATCTTTCTTCCAGGAAATGCACTAAAGGTAAATCCTTAACTGCAGGAAAGCTGTATGTTTGTGGTGTGAGTTCTGAAAATATTAGGCTTGGATTCACAGGTGTGTCTTCCCTTCCTTCAAGGGTACATGCAGCAGAACAAAAGAGAAACATGGACACTCAGAGTTCAACAAACTCTGTTTTAATTCTTCACGTTTAATCAATAATTTTGGGATTATTTGGTGAAAGGAACCAAATTGTTGACCCGTTCGTGCAGCCACTGTAAAAATAACTAATAACCAACTAGTCTGTTAGAAAATTTACCAATCAGGACACGTTTTCCAGCACAGCCTACTTGAATGAGTAGGGTCTTTGGCTTAGAGATTGGAGAACAGTGGTCTTGCCTGGTAGTGTGGACAGCTGGTGAAGGATCGGGCCCCCAGAGCTGGACTGCTGGCTGGCTGGGGTGGGAGCAGCACTGAGGGTGGGTCTGAGGGACACAGGTTTCATTCAGTAGGAAATGAGGGCAGTCGTTTTGAGCATAACATGATTTTCAGTGTTTTTCGGACTTGCCGCATGCACTTTTGTTTAAATGTGAGGAGAGTATGGCTGTGTACAAAGTGAAACTTCTTTCTGTCACCCAGGTAGTGACTCCTGAGGCTTATCAGGCTTTCAGTGTTTACTGAATTTGAGGATCAACATTCCAGGTGTCGAAACAGTGCTGCTCTGACTCCTAACAACCACAACCGTGGGTCTGAGGAGGGTTGCAGAATTAGCTAGTGTTTTTCTTGTTTCGAGCGTGCGTGGCTGCATACAATGAGCCCAGCAGTGGATCATTGACCTAAAATATAAATTTGTGGATTAAATCTGTCTTTTCCTCTCCCCTTCCAGGACTTTGAAGAAGGCTGTTACTTGCTTTGTAAGAGTGAGGCCATACAAGTGATGACAAGGGACATCGTAGTTACAGAAAAAGGAAATACTGTGTTAGAGTTTTTAATAGGGCTCTTTAAACCTTTTGTGGAATCTTATCAGGTGTGTAAATCTTTTGCAAGTTCTCCTTCATCCTCCCATAACAAATATAACTGAGACTTTCCTACCCTGTACTTATTTCTGGTCTGAAGAGCAAGTGTCTTCCCCAGGTGAATGGTAGAACTTTTTTTTGGAAGGGGAGGGGTCTTTATTCTGCTCTAGAGGAGCAGAATAAAATTAAGAGGGTCAGTGTAAAATTTTCATTGTTCTATTGTATTTGGCTGCCCTTTTTCACTTTCTGTTCCTCTTATCCCCCCTCTTAAAAATCAGATAATTTGCAAATACCTCTTGAATGAAGAAGAAGACTACTTCACTGAGAAACAGTACTTCATAAGAGTTAGAAAATTCACGAGTCAGCTTCTTGATCAAGGTGAGTCACAAGCCTGTAGGCAGTGATTTCTGTCAGCTGAGAACAGACAGTAGGTTGCTTACCCCCCATGCCTCTGTTCCAGGTGCCTCACAGTATTACGATGTGTTATCCCCCATCCCTCTGTTCTAGGTGCCTCACAGTGTAACGATGTGTTATCCCCCATCCCTCTGTTCTAGGTGCCTCACAGTGTAACGATGTGTTATCCCCCATCCCTCTGTTCTAGGGGCCTCACAGTGTTACGATGTGTTATCCTCCAATGTACAGAAGAATGCCTTAGCAGCCTTTGTGAGGCTTGGTGTGTTGAAGAAGAAGAAGGTGTAAGTAACGGAGCACAATGCCCAGGGTGGGCTCAGGGTGCAGCGACCACTCAGAACAGTTGAGCACAAGTCCATAGAGAGAACTGTGGAAACGCATGTGATCTAGGAAACATCACATCATGCTTCACTTTTGCATGTCCTGAGTAGGAAGTCACTCTGTGTTACCATGCAGATTTTATGTGGCTATGAATAAAAATTACATTGAGGCAAAGAAAAAATTTGCTTTAGGCCAGCATTTTGGCTTTGACGTAATGATTGAAATTTATAGGTTAATTCTGGAGTAGAAAATGGCAACCCACTCCATTATTGCCTGAAATATTCCCTTGTCAGAGGAGCCTGGTGGGCGCAGTCCGTGGGGTGCAAAGAATTGGACACAACTGAGTGATTGAGTACACATGCACACATATCGGTTAATTATAAGAAAGTCCGGGTGTCGGGCATGTCGTGTGTGTGTGTATTCTTACATATATATTAATATACACACAACTTTCAACTGTTTAAAACTAGGCTTGAGGGTAACTATTTAAACATATTCTTACTATATAAAAAGTGATGTTGTCTTTTCATCCTAATTTATGCAGTAAGAAATCTTATCACTTTTTCTCCTAGAAATAATGATTATATATTTAGCGTGAATGAACCTGCCACAACAAAGTTAGAAGAAATGCTTGGTAAGTACCAGTTAATAAAATGTGATGGGTTTTCACATTGCATTTAGCAACATATAGTAAAACAAGAAAGTATGGCACTAAATAATTTATCAAAATGAACAGCAGTAGAGCTTTAATACACATAGAGAACTATTTTTGTTTTGTTTTTGGTTTTTTATATTTATAGATAAGGTTTATTCCAATGTCTACATAAAAATGAGTTGATGTTAATTAGGAAAAAGTTTTTCCAAACAGGTTAAAATTTATCAACAACAGAATTTGGTCCTTCCCTTTAGGCAAAGAACTATTTCATCATCTAGAGTTTTCTCAAGGAACTAAGGAGAAAACTAACAGCAAACACACCAGGCATAAAATAGGCAGTCTTATACAGCATAAAAATGATCAGCTTCTGACATAACTAATCAGGGTGCATGATCTAGTCCTGGTGACATCAAGAAAATTCCTCTCTTTCTAGTCCTTGGGTTCATTAGCTCCCATTTCATTGCCATGGACCTTAGTTTCTTGAACAGGGCCTGAACCCAGGCCCTTAACAATGAAAGCACAGAGTCCTAACCACTGGACTGCCTGGTTAGGACTATAAATAGCCTTCTATTTATAGTATGTCTGAAATTTCAGAATACATAACCTTGAAACCTTGAAATTTTGTGGTGATGGTGTTCAGTTCCTAAGTCGTGTCTGACTCTGCGACCCGTGGATGGCAGCACGCCAGGCGTCCCTGTCTTTCACCATCTCCCAGAGCTTGCTCAAACTCATGTCCATTGAGTCAGTGATGCCTTCCAACCATCTCATCCTCTGTTGCCCCCTTCTCCTCTTGCCCTCAATCTTTCCTAGTATCAGGGTCTTTTCCAGTAAGTTGACTCTTCACATCAGGTGGCCTGAGTATCGGAGCTTTAGCTTCAGCATCAGTCCTCCCAAATGAATATTCAGGGTTGATTTCCTTTAGGATTGACTGGTTTGATCCCCTTACTATCCAAGGAACTCTCAAGAGTCTTCTCCAAAACCACAGTTCAAAAGCATCAGTTCTGCAGCGCTTGGCTTTTTTATGGTCCAACTCTCACATCCATGACTTCTGGAAAAACTGTAGCTTTGACTATGCGGATCTTTGTTAGCAAAGTGACATCTCTGCTTTTTAATATGCTGTCTAGGTTTTTCACAGGTTTTCTTCCAAGAAGCAAGTATCTTTTTAAAAATGTCATAGCTGCAGTCACCGTCCACAGAGACCACTAAAATTAAGTCTGTCATTGTTTCCATTCTTTGCCTATCTATTTGCCGTGAAATGATGGGACCAGATGCCATGATCTTAGCTTTCTGAATGTTGAGTTTTAAGCCAGCTTTTTCACTCTCCTCTTTCAGCTTCATCAAGAAGCTCTTTAGTTCCTCTTCGCTTTCTGCCATTAGGGTGGTATCGTCTGCATATCTGAGGTTGTTGATATTTCTCCCGGCAATCTTGATTCCAGTTGTGCTTCATCCAGCCCAGCATATCGCATGACCTACTCTGTATATAAGTTAAATAAACAGGGTGACAATATACAGCCTTGACGTCCTCCTTTCCCAGTTTTGAGCCTGTCTGTTTATTCCAAATCTGGTTCTGTTTCTTCTTGACCTGCATCCGGGTTTCTCAGGAGGCAGGTAAGTTGGTCCGGTATTCCCATCTCTTTAAGAATTTTCCACAGTTGGTTATGATCCACACAGTCAAAGGCTTTAGCATAGTCAGTGAAGCAAAAGTAGATGGTTTTTGGAATTCTCTTGCTTTTTCTGTGAGACAATGGGTGTTGGCAATTTGATCTCTGGTTCCTCTGCCTTTTATAAATCCAGTTTGTACATCTGGAAGTTCTTAGTTCACATACTGTTGAAGCCTAGCTTGAAGGATTTTGAGCATTACCTTGCGAAATGAACGCAATTGTATGGTAGTTTGAACATTTCTTTAGCATTACCTTCCTTTGGGATTGGAATGAAAACTGACCTTTTCCAGTCCTGTGGCCACTGATGAGTTTTCCAAATTTGCTGGCATATTGAATGCTGCACTATAATAGCATCATCTTTTAGGATTTGAAATACCTCAGCTGGAATTCTGTCACCTCTACTAGCTTTGTTCATAGTAATGCTGCTAAAAGCCTACTTGACTTCACACTCTAGGATGTCTGACTATAGGTGAGTGACCACACCATCATGGTTATCTGGGTGATTAAGACCTTTTTTGTACAGTTCTTTGGTGTCTTTTTGCCACCTCTTATTATCTTCTTCTGTTAGGTCCATGCCACTTCTGTCCTTTGTTGTGCCCATCTTTTGCATGATACGTTCCCTTGGTATCTCTAATTTTCTTGAAGAGATCTCTAGCCTTTCCCATTCCTTTGTTTTCTTCTATTTCTTTGCATTGTTCACTTAAGATTTTGTTTTTTAATCTCCCTGCTATTCTTTGGAATTTGGTGAGAGAGGCATAAAGCTAAAACAGACACCAAAACCCTCATTCTGAGGATGATGGAGTTGATTTCTTAATCTCAGAAGGCAACTGTGTGAGTGTAAACATACTGGAACATGCTAGCCTTGAAGTTCAGGAAATGTGGCTGGGGGCACAGTGGCCATGCCCATCGCCTCTTTGAGACACTGCTTCTTCTCTTATTAAGGGTGCTGCTGTCTCCACTGATCCCTTTTCAGTCTGTAAAACTGCACAAGTGTCGTGTGTTTCTCTTTTGCCAGTGCCCAGGCAGTTGTACGAGGAAGGGCAAACTCAGTGTCATCTCATGAGCCATCTCTCTGTTTTCACCTCAGGCTGTAAAACACCGGTAGGAAAACCAGCAACTGCGAAGCTTTAATGATTGCCAAATGGTTACGGAAAAATTGGTCGTGTTGTTTCTGTCATTCACGGACTCGTATTACAACAAAGAGAGAAGTAAAGGAAGAGACCCATCTTCTCATCCTTTATAAGGCTTCGAGAACAGTGGACTCAGTACAGAGGGAAAGCCATCAATTTAAGCAGTCAGTGAAATCTCCTCCACAATGGTTAAAAAGACATTTGTGTCCAACCCTGTGTGTGTTTTAAAATAAAACAGGCTTTTGGAAACATGTTTGGAAATACAAAGCCTAGCTTCTGTTTCACTAACACTTTCAATTTATTACATGTATTTAACTGTTATGTTGACTTCTGAATTAAAAATGCAGCATCAACTCTATAAAGGCTCTGGCTATCAAAACTACTAGAAAGGGCATGTCTTACGCTTCTCATGACTTTAATTCAGGTTGCCTCAAACAAGTACACATTTGACAAAGTTATACAATAAAGTAGCTAGCTTCTGTTAAACTGCCACCCAGGGGCCTTAATCAGTAAAACTGAATTAGAGAAAGTACATGTGACAAAGAGAAGTTATGAGATGTATCATAAATAGGCTTAACAATTCAAAGGAAGAAAAGTTTGAAATAAGATGGGCAAAAAGCAAAAACCTTGACCGCTCGCCACTTCTGGAACGGCATTTAAGCTGAGAATTTGGAGGAGATCAGCCAGTCCTCGAAATGTGGGGCTGAGGTGACAGAGGAGGGGGCAAGGGGTGAGTGTGCAGAGAGAACTGTGATCAGAATGTCCTAGGATTGGTTCTGAAGGACCTGGAAGACCAGTGTAACTGAAACAAGAGCCATGGAAAATGAAATTTAAAAGAAAGGCAGGTATATTCATCTGCTTGGGCTGCCATAATGAAATACCACAGGGTGGGCAGCTTAAACAGCAGAAATTCGGTTTTTTACAGTTCTGGAGGGTCAAAGTCCAAGAGCAAGGTGCCAGCAAGGTAGGTTTCATTCTGAAGCCTCTTTCCTGGGCTTGCAGGAGGCCACCATCTTGCAGTGTGCTCACCTTACCTCTCTGTGTGTCTGAAGACAGAACAGTCTCTGGTATCTCTTCTTAGACGGGCATTACCCCATCAAACTAGGGCCCCACCTCATTTGCCCAATCTAGCCCTAATTACTGCCAATGGCTCCAGATATGTCACACTGGGGAATTAGGGCTTCAATATCTGAATTTCGAACTATGGTGCTGGAGAAGACTGTTGAGAGTCCGTTGGACAGCAGGGAAATCAAACCAGTCAATCCTAAAGGAAATCAATCCTGAACATTCATTGGAGGGACTGATGCTGAAGCTCCAATACTTTGGCCACCTGATGTGAAGAGCTGACTCATTGGAAAAGATCCTGATACTAGGAAAGGTTGAGGGCAAGAGGAGAAGGGGGCAACGGAGGACGAGATGGTTGGAAGGCATCACCAACTCAATGGACATGAGTTTAAGCAAGCTCTGGAGATGGAGAAGGGCAGAGAAGCTTGGCGTGCTGCAGTCCGTGGGGTCGCAAAGAGTCGGACACAGCTGAGTGACTGGACAACAGCAACCATCTGAATTTGGGGACCACCATTCAGTCCATAGCAGCAAGGTTCAATTTCTGCAGTGCCTTAGAGACTTCTTGTAAAACGTTTGAATAGGAATATAAATCCCATGGGAAATGCTGAAACGTGGTTTCAGCATTTGGTTGTAGGACTGTCTGTATCCAAATGGCTGGAATGTGCGTTCGTTCCCCAGAGGCCCAGCTGTTTGTGCTGCACATCTGGATTGGAGAGTCCCTCGCCGAGTCCGTGCGTTGGGGGCAGCGGGGCCCTCTGTGTGGCTCTGCTTGTTGGGAAGCCAGAGAAGACTGCCTGAGAGCGGAGCAGTCAGTTGAACAGTTCTTGACTTGTATGGATCGTATGGCTTGCCAGCTAAACAGCCCTGAGCTGCTGCCCTCCAGGCAGTCCAGAGCAGTGGGGAGGCCGGGCCCTGGCCAGTCCTTGCTGAGTGGGTGTGCCTTAGAAAGACTCCCCATGCACCCAGTCTGGTTACTTGTTTTACCGTGCTAGGTATGTGTTGAAGACTGAGTAAGACAACTTTTATTTACTTTTTGATGTGTTTGTAATGCATTTCCAGTTTGAGGACAAAGCTACTTGGGTGCAAATGCCTGTAGAGTTGTCTCCTGGCCAGTTCTGGCATCAGAGCCAGGCAAGGAAGCCCATAGTGGAGAGGCAGGAAAAGGCGGTACAGCCCAGACAGTTGAGGTCTTGCCGTAGGGGCAGCTGTGGGAGGTGAGGGGGTGGGTGGGGCTTTTTCCCTTTCAGTCTCCTCAGACCCTCTCAAGTCACCCAAGTCAATCTAACATTTTAGTCAAAGAACAGCGTGCTTCCTATGCTCATGGGGCTTCAAAGTGGGTATCCTGTACCCTGCCCCACATGAGCTCCTGCATACACCTGTGGTTACAAGCCACACTGTGGTTCCTAAACTGCCCCTGCCCCCATCCCATCTATAAATTGTGGGCCTGCCCTTGCTTTGAAGTAAGTAAAAGAAAGACCCATAGCATCTGGTTTTCCAGGACAGTCTCCCATCCTAACACCACACAACGTAGCAGCCAAGAATGCAGAGTCTGAAGCCCAGCTGGCTGTGAAATCCAGCAACCATACATGAGCCCTGTTTGATTTGCTTAACATCTGAAAGCCTCAACTTCCTTATCCATAAAATGGGGATGATGAGAGTACCAGTTGAGTTGTAAGAAATACTGTCAGCAAAATGTTAGATCCAGTCTTTGGCAGTAAGTATAACCTGTTGTTACCATGACTAATGACTGCGACACACCCTACTTGGCCTCCAGAGTAAATGAGGTTGGACGCTTCCAGAGTGGTCAGTACGGCCATAGGCCCTTGCATCCCTTACTGACAACCTCAGGAGCCAGCCTCAGTCCAGCTCTTTAACCCAAGAGCGTTACATGTGCCTCACTGGGCTGTCTCTCACAGACACCTGCTGTCCAAGGCCAGCTGGGCCATGGTGGAAATCACAGCTTTCCAGATATCCCGTCTTCCTCTCACCAATAGGATCGAATCCTCCAGTGTGGGCTAGAAAACAGATTTTGATGTGTTATTTGACTCCGTTTGTATCTTTACTTTTTTGTTTTTCAGATTAAAGTTAGCAACTCTGACAGAAGTGTGACTTCCCCTTCAGTAGGTTCAAACACATTTTTTCTAGAGCCCACCCTGGGCTGGTCGCTTTCTAGGCCTGCATATGCTGTCAGCCAGGGGTCCCATCAGTGGGAACTGTTACCTTGGCACTTCCCTTCAATTTCTGCACGGATTCCCCTCTCTCTTGGGTCCCATGTCTTTCTCTTTATCTGTTTATTAATTTCAGTGAAGCACGTGTTCCAGGGGTATGAGGGATTAGTATTTTAGATTTCACCTGCTTACAAATATCTTTCCACAGTCACAGTTGTCTGATGGCTTAGCTGGGTATAGAGTTCTAGGGTAGAGATAATTTTCCTTCAGTATTTTGAAAAGCATTTCTCCTTTATCTTCTGTTTTCTAAAGTTGATTAGAACATTCCGATCCCTGAATGTAAAGGACTTGCTTTCTCAGAAAATCTTCAGGATCTCCCTTCTGAAATTTCAGGTGATGGGCTTTGTTCTCAGTGACTTTCTGTTTGTGGCTCAAGCAAATTTATGATCTTACTGTTCAGGTCAGAAGTCTGAGAGGGAACCTCAGTGGGCTGCCTTCTGAGGCTGCCATGGGTGTATGTTTCCTCACCTTTACCAGCTTCCAAAGACCACCATGTGCCTCAGCTCCTGGCTCCCCTTAAAGCCACAGTGTCCAGCTGAGTCCTCACAGTGCCTCTTGCTGCTTCTCTCTTCTGTCTCTCTCTCTTCCACTTTTTAAAAACATGGTGGTATAATTGAAATAGCACTATATTAGTTTCAGGTGTAAATGTCATAATTCAGCATTTGTATACATTGCAAAATGATCCCCACAATAAGTCCAGTTATTACTCGTCACCAAATATAGTTACAGAATTCTTTTTTCCTGTCATGGGAACTTTTAAGACCTATTCTCAACAACTGTCAAGTATGCAATACAGTATTATTAATTAGAGTCACCATCCTGTACATCACATCCCCAGGACTTAACTCATTTTGTAACTGGAAGCTTGTTCCTTTTGACCCACCTCACCCCCGGATCCATTTCATCCACGTCCAAACCTGCTGCCTCAGGCAACCACCTATCTGTTCTCTATATCCATGAACTCAATTTTTCCTTTTTTTTCTCCCTTTAGATCCACATGTAAGTAAGATTGTATGGTATTTATCTTTTCTTGTGTGACTTACTTCACTTAGCATAATGCCCTCGGAGTCCATCCAGACTGTCATAAATGGCAAGATTTCCTTCCTTTTTTATGACTGAGCAGTATTCGACTGTATATAAATACCACAACTTCTCTATCCATTCATTTACTGATGGACATTAAGGTTGCTTCTATGTCTCAGCTATTAAGATTAGGGGTCCCCAGGTGGCGCTAGTGGTAAAGAACTTGCTGCCAATGCAGGAGACATAAGAGACCCTGGTTTGATCCCTGGGTCAGGAAGATCCCCTGGAGGAGGGTATGACCCACTCTAGTATCCTTACCTGGAGGACCCCATGGACAGAGGAGCCTGGTGGGCTACAATCCATGGGGTGGCAAAGAGTCAAACACAAACTGAAGCAACTTAGCACACAACAGGCAAAGTCTTAGCTGCTTCTGTGTAGACTCTTGAGGCTTGAAACCTTTGATTTCTTTGGAAACTGAGCCATTAAATACTGAGAAAAAGGAAACGATTCCACAAATTAACTAACACATAAACAATTAACTTTCCTTAGAAAGTGTGATTCTTCCCCAGCTGTGTTAAATGGAAATGAAAAAATAAGATTTTCCATCTGTGTCAGTTTGACAAAGTAGAGACAAAGCAGCTCGTTTGGCTTTCTTTTCCCATGGGAAATTCATGGGTAGAAAGAT